TGATAAAATTACGCGAAAAACTGGGTGGTATAAAAAAATTGTCAAAACGGATATTCTTGGACCAAAACGGATATAGGGAGGGGGGGGGGGATGTTATGATCTCACTTAGCGATGTTCGACTCATACGGGAGTATAACTTTTGACGTGAATACGATAACGAGTCCGACTCAGTGCAAGTCCGAGTTGACTGGGGTACGACTTAAATTTACTCAGACATGGGACATAGGTAGTACACTAGGAAACTACAGAAGAGTATTAATGAAAATAACATGACAAGGTACTCACAACAGGAGACTTGGCTGACCGAGGTAGGTTCGTGTGATTATTAGATTCCAAAGCTCTGGACCCCGCACTTGTTCGTATCCAAGGTTTTACAGCAGAGGCTGTCAAAGATTCCTTATCATAAGGTGTGCTGATTGGCCGTGTTACCTCGGACAACGAGACGGGGGATATCTCAGATTCATGTGTACTACGAGATATACACGAAACAGATGAATTCACAGGACTTATGCCGAGATACTCTAGAACTACTCTCTTTAGCTGCTTGTATGACTCCTCGAGGTCGTCTGCAAAAAGATCAGGTTTATTCGTGTGGTAAAATGGTAACACAGTAAAAAAGAAAATTATTGATTCCGAAAGAAGTCTAGACACTTCTTTCAACATCTCCCCTAGTATTTCATCCTACCAGTGGCCAGGCCAATCACAAGTCGCTGTGTCAAAAATCGTTAAGGTTCTAAACTGTTATCTAGCCTAAAACATTATCAAGAATTGAGACAAATCATGAATGACCGTTAAGCTTAAGGGGAGGAGTAACTAAACCCTTCTGTTAAACCAACCTCAGGACTGTAACTGTAATGCTGTGACGCAAGGCTAAACATTCCCTGCCGAATATTTTTAATGGAAATCTATGGCATTTTAGCATTTCTGCCTACCTATTTTCCTTGCATTGGTTGGAATGCATGAAGTTTCTGCACAAATTGTAGGAAAAGTATAAATTTCCTCGCATGCACGGGATGACTGCGCCAAAAATTCTTTAAACCTGGCAGTTGTGGACTAGCAAAGGTTTTTGGGATACAATCGCATCTCCGGCCCAGCCTTCCAGTTTACCTCATGGGCCAGCCATCAAATTTCGAAATGTATTAATCAGGCATTATTTTAGTATCATCCCAAGGGAAGGCAAGATAAGTGATGCATGTCCGCCCCAGCTTCAATTAAAACTGCAGCGCAGAAAAAAGAGAAACAAATGTTAAAGGAGATGGGTCTAGGAATGATAGAAAAGAAATGACCTTATACATACCACTGCATATCACCGTATCAAAATAGCCAGGGTGCTCTCTGTTGGTTTCAACGTACAGTGCGACTCTTTCAATTGCCTGGTTTATGTGAGAATCACTGTAAAATTTCTTCGATCTCATTCGCTCTTCTTGGGCCTAAAAGTGATTATCGGGAAATACAAACACACAGTAACAATTTTCTAAACGAGATTCAGTTAGAAATCGTGATTAGTTGTTAAAGATCTGCACAAAAATAAGGTATAATTATGTTATAATTTCAATAAATCAAATAAAGGTTATGGTCTCGTTACGTACTTGCTTCGTCTCCGGCAGTATTAGAATGTACCGCGGCTCAAAGTGGGTATTTTTTAAGACCATGACACCCTAAAACACGAAAAGAGAACGTCAGTTAAGTAATGATGCGACACACGCTTTGGTACCTTAACAGTTGCTTCCATACGTTTTCACGCTAGCCGTGATTAACAGGCAACTAGTGACCATGAAAATGTAAAAAACATTTGATTCTCTCACATATTGAAGGGCCTACTACCATTATATCATATGCGCTTCATAACGCCACATACCCTCGATGTTTTACCTAAAAACACCTAAAATGTTTTTACTAAGAAATATTTGAATAGTCTTTAACCATTAACTCGGCCAACAACTGATTAAATATAATCACTAATTTTTAAAACATTTATTGATTTAGCCTTTTACAACGATTGTGATTTACTAAGCAATTTCATGAACATTAAGGGTGTATTGTATTCTGGATGGGGCCACTTTAAATCAGCACTTGTTGAAGGGGTCCCTCTTAAAAATATGAAATAAAATCGAGTCAAATCAAATTGATTTGCAATTTTAGAATTGCGAAACAAAGAAATAGCGACCATGTAGCAAAGCTATAAAGAAAAAGGAACAAAGACCTCTCTAAACACAGCGAGGAAATAAACTAGCTTATTTTTAATGCGGTGCTTTAGGCTGAAGGTTGATAAATATCGAGAAGGATTCAGAGCCCTGATTATTCAATGTATTTTGGTCTCTAACATGCTTTTATACTAGATTTGTGATAAATGTATCTTTTATGTGAAGCATATGCCGAGCGAAATTCGTATCGTATTAGTCGTGTTAACTTTTATTTAACGAGCTACATTGCTAAACGAGCTACATTGCTAAACGAGCTAACGAGCTAAAAGTAAACTTAGAACAGCATCATTTAAACATATTAACAATGCATCAGAGTATTTGCGAATAGTTTGGTATAGAAAATAGAATAAAAAGGCATCTAAGACAAAAAACTTGGAATATTCACTGTTACTGCCTACCAATCTTAAAGTTCAATTGCCGGCTTTAAAAGGGAGTTTATTTATCCAGCACTTTCACTCGAAACTCGCGACATATTGCTAACGTCAATAGTTGTCTGACCAAAATAACCGATAATGTTGGTTAGGGTTCTGGTTTAACTCTGGTTTGGTCTACAGAACAATCAAATGATAGCAAAAACTGATCCTTAATAATCTATTGGTAAATACAAAGACGGACAGGATATACACTAGTAAAATAAGAAGAATATTGAAAGAAAAACAATTAAATCAGAAGAATGAAAATATTTGATGTGGAGATTGGCTATAAAGTGAATTTTAAGCTTCATATCTCAAAACTTTGCAGATGAGTAGCAACGTAAACAACTCAATATTTCATTGGTCTCAATGGGAGAGAAATTATTTTTCTCCTATTTCAGCTCATATCTCCATCACCTAACCTAGTGTAGTTTTTACATTAGCCGGCAATGATCGAAAGAGTCCAAGAACGCACCTTGATATTTTTATATAGGCGCAAAATGTATGTTTGCGACTGTAAGCATATTACTTAGAAATCTTGAAAACAATCAATAGCGTAAATTCTGAATTCATAAAATTTTAAAAAGATTGAATCCACATAGTTGTAAATATAATTGACCAAACCAAACTAAACCAAACATTACTCCAACAGTCTAATATCCTTAGGTCCCCAAAGGTGAATTACATGGCCAAACAATTCAAAGCAGTTCCTAAAAAGTGGGACGGTCCAACTTGTAAACATAATGCAAAACTAAAAGTCTCCAAGTCATAAGTCTATAAGTCTCCAAACAACCTTTGTCTTACATCACCAATTTATTTGATGTTTGAGCACCGAAATTGAATAGTTAAACTTGTACGTTTAAAAATGGTGAGTTTAAGTTAAACATATATCAAATTGCGTGAAAAACAAACTAACAGGCACAGGTCCCCAAGATCTTTCATATCGCACTAAACCTACTTTTACGGAGACAACATTCTGGCCAGTGGTGTAGTCAGATTTATTACCGGTTACTATAAGAAATGTGAAAATTAAACGAAACAAATATAAACATTTCTTTGTTTTTGGTGACTTGATATCGTCAACAAGAGGACTACTGAACTATGATGCCCAACTTACAAAAGCACATTAAGATTGTAATAACGGTATCTTCAAATGGCCTTTTACATTTCCATACCCAATCAAATATTCGGTGAGACATGTAAATAAAGTCTAACCGATTTAGTTGCAAAAATTGCTTGGTATATATAATGATGCTAGTGTTAACGCCACTATTCGTTTTAGTAGGTAGTAAAACGCTGCAGCTCAAAAGTTGTAGGAATGCTAACGGCGTTGTGCCCTTCACCTCTCCAATACAACACAGATTCTGCCGGATATTTTAAACTTCTTTGTTTTGATACTGTTAATAGGTATTTTTGGTATTGGTATCATCATTTCACTTGAAAATGATTCAGCATTTTGACTGCCTAAATATGGAATAAGATACGAACCTCCAGCTCTAAATGAAGGGCACAAGCCAAGCCCTCTTTTGCAACAGCCTCAATTGCATCCCGGCTTATTCCATATTGACTGTTATATAAGTGAGAAGTTGAGATAAATTTGCCCTAAAATGTAAATTTTTAGAGAAAAAATTATAACATAGCGTGTGGTAGACAGATATGCTTAGAAAGAAATGTCAAGATTATTTTAAGACTGATTTTTGTCAAAGAATAGGAAAAGAAAATGTAGCACCCCCGGTCTCTTCAGAGATAGGAAGATGAAAGAGCTTAAAATATCCTTTTTCGGCATTCCTGCTTAAGAAACTTTAGTGGGTGCCAACACGGGTGCTACATCTGTCTTATCTAGGAAACACGATACTTTTATAAAATAATGATTTTATTATATAGAGGCTGAAGGTTACAACGCTTTTTAAAGTTCACTGCGTAGCAACGCTATGATTGACACTGAAATGGGAATCGAAGTCGAAAAGGTCTATGATCTCTTAATAATCATACGGAGTTACGATCTTTCACGGTTTCACAGATATGTTAAGATTATCATCGATAGTTTAGATTAGTTTAGATTTGTTTAGATTAGTATGGAACTCAATGGTTTGCAATCCAAAAGCACTACTCACTGCTACAGTATCTCTTTCAAAATCGTCTTTCGTTGTAAAATGATAATCTGTACCATCAACTTCGCTTTCACGTGGGACCTTTTCATTCTCTCGCAAACCTCTGGTTGTGTAAGAAACTCTAAAAAAAGTACTGACTATTACGAATTCGCTCTTTGACTCAACCGTAGAGAATTCAAATGCTCCGGGGAAAACTGGGTTTATACACCCTGTTTCAAGTACGACTGAACATGTGATAATCCTTGACTAATTAAGACATGTATCTGGTCACTTGAGAATTTATTTGCATGGGCAAAAGGCAAATTCCAAATCGTGAAAAATTTGCATATAGGCCCATGGGGCTACGCTATTTGGTGTAAAGTAAAGGACAGTTCTTAACTGCTACTATATCTTTCTAAGCGTAGAAGCTCAAGAGCTTAAATGCGGAGTAATAGGGTATTTGTTGGATATCCATATGATTCTTGTGAGATTTTTTGAATAAAGCGATATCTTCAAATTTTGTCGAATTGCTAAGCCTCGTAGAGAAATACATGTCCTTTTCGTTTTGATATGAACACCATGAACGTTAAACCTTTGTTTAAAAAAGGACAGCAAGCTATTGCTAAAACAAAGAAATTTCACTGGCTTCCTCTTTTCAGTTAATTTAGAAGATCTTGGATCGTTACACAACCTTTTTGGGCTGCAAATTTATGAAAGCGCTTACCCTTCCCCAAAGAAATTTGGAAATTCTTGGCAAAGTTTCTTGATTAAGGTTCTTTTTCCACAGCCAGACGGACCGGTTAAAACCAGCATTGGATAAGGCGTCTCGGTGCTTGAAAGCGTGCTAAAAATAGAACAAAACCCATTTCATATTGCAATATTCAGTCGACTAAAATCTTTTCCATAAATCTTATCCTTTAGATCAATTCTCATAAAACTAAATGACATTTGAGAGTTTGAGCAAGAGAAATTTGATCCAAAAAACTAAAAATAGGGAATGTTAAAACTTTTTTTCCAGAAAGTCAGGTTTGGAATAAAATGAAAATGAGGAATGAAAATCTTAAGTGTTCTTAATATTTGATTAAGATTGAGGCTTCCTTGCTACTGTGCAAAACAATAACATTATTAACAAAAGAGAAAGTAGTTCTCGTGAAAAAAATGCCATAGTTCGATAACATAAGGAAAAAGAGTCTGGAATAAAAAATATTTTCGAGATAGGAGGACTGGAAACACATACCTGTTATAGAGTTTTATCGGTTGTAGGTAAGAACGAACAAGATTCATCATGTGATTTCGTGCTGCAATGATATCTAGTCGTGGCTTGAAGAGATTTTCTGAAGCAACCTAGGAATGAGTACTCAACAAATTAGAAGCCATGCATAACCTAATCTATGAATTATCCGAAGTCTGACTCACAGTCCGAAGTCTGACTCAAAGTCCAAAGTCTGACTCAAAGTCTAAAGTCTGACTCAAAGTCCGAAGTCTGCATCACAGTCCAAAGTCTGACTCGAAACCGAAGTCTGACTCAAAGTTCGAAGTCTGACTCAAAGTCCGAAGTCTGACTCAAAGTCCGAAGGCTGCATCACAGTCCAAAGTCTGACTCGAAACCGAAGTCTGACTCAAAGTCCGAAGTCTGATTCAAAGTCCGAAGTCTGACTCAAAGTCCAAAGTCTGACTCAAAGTCCAAAGTCTGACTCAAAGTCCAAAGTCTGACTCAAAGTCCGAAGTCTGACTCAAAGTCCAAAGTCTGACTCAAAGTCCAAAGTCTGACTCAAAGTCCGAAGTCTGACAAAAATATACATAAAATGATGAATACAGTATAGTTCCTACAATAACAAGAAAATATTGCAACAACAAAATCTGGCAATTCAGTCAAAGCCAACAGCAATCATATTGCACAATATGGGCAAAAAACGAGATTCTGTTATACCTTCTCTTCGGGTTGTACTGGTATGTTATCAAGCTCAACGAGTCGCGGTATCCGAAAGACAATAGACAGTCTGTAATCTGGAAAGTCCTGAAAGGGGAAGAAATATCACTCACCAGGCTGATACTATATTCAATATTAGTAAAGTTTAAATACGTATGCAAACATTGCTAGAATTCCTATTGTATGATATTTAAGTACCATTTTCAATCTTCTTGTTTCTTGGAAAAATGTAGTTTAAAATACTTTCATTTCCATTATTTTTGCAAATTAATCTTCGATTATTGTTATCAAAAACTTGGGGTATTTGAATTTGACTAGAAAGCTCTTTTGAATTCTTTTTCAAGCATCCCGAGAAAGTAACCTTATCATTGCCATTTTCAGAAAATAGTCGATAGTAGATAGTTGATTAAAAATTGAAGGGGTATTGGTTACCAAACTGAACCCAAAGCTGTAAGACTAGCTCTGGCTAAGACAAAAAGCCAATTACAAATAACATTTCTCATTGAAAAGAACACCTACTATTATGGCCCTAGTGGCATAGCTCCTGATAACAATGACTATTACGCATCGCGAAACTAAATGATTACGGAAGGCAAAGTTTTAGTCCAGGGAAAAAGAGTCTCATTGTTGTTATGCATAGAATCATTTTTAAACCTCTCATTCTTGAGCTTCAAGAAATATAAGTAATGGCAAAAAATATCAGTTAAAGAAGTTGTTAAATAGAGATTGACGAACCTGAATTGGATTGTAGGATAGATCCAGAACTCTCAGCAAAGGTAAGTCTCTGATATACCGAACTTCTGATAAGTCAATTATCTTGAAGGAGAAATAGAAGAGTTTTGCATTAGAAGTAGCTTGCACTGCAATTGGGTAGATCGGGAGAGGATTCCTGTTATTGCATTCAGTTAGCTGAACTATATGGCGAATCAATGAATGGGAAGAGAGGAGAAGCAATATAACAAATTCTGAGCTGTTCTCGCCAAGTCATTCTACGACTACGGTTTAATGGGTTTTGTCCATACCCATGGCTCCTCTGCATATGCTACTAACGGATAAAAAGGAAAGGTAAAAATCATTAGAAAATAATGGAATTAGTAATAAAAGACTCAAAAATGACCCCTTACTTCGTTGTTTCGCAATCTGATTGTGTCAAGCAAGTCGTGGGACTGCAAACCTCTCAGACTTCGAATGGCATTGTATGATAGATCGAGTAGCTAAAAGGTTGGATAAAGAAGATTTGAGAACAGATTTTTTAGACAGGAAAATTACACAATTTATTTGTTATATGGGTATATAAAAAAATTGAAAAACATGAGTGGTATAGAAAAGAGTCACAGCTTTTATCATGAGACAGCAATATGACAAATGTCTTTAATAACTCGGATTTAATTTTTTCAAGCCTTGAAAAATGCGAATAATTGTGACGTCATTGAAAAAATCTTTTAATTTGGACCATAAAACCTGAAATATTAGCATGGAATACTTTAAAGTGTGAAAAAAGGCTGAAGCTTTTGCATATTCACTGAAATATAGGAAGTGAAAAGCTGAGTTTTGCCGATGGGTAATTTGAAAAAGAAAGATCCTGTACTAAAAGGGTTACATATCACTCAATTCGTAACGCACGAGACTGATTTTGCACATTTAGAAGTATTTTATAATGTTTGTTATAATGGTATTTTAGGTAATGTGGTCGAAATAAAAATGTCGATATTTGGTGGTACAAAACTTTTCGTCTGACACTCTTCAGAGTATAAAACGTCAGAACATAAAATGAAAACTCTACGCTTGGAAATATATATACCTGGTTGTGGATCAAAATAGGCCAATCGAAATAGTGCTCGCCTTTTTGATTGGCCTATTTCGATCCAAAACAGGGGCGGATTCAGACGGTGGCACCGGTGGCACGTGCCACGGTCAGATTTCCAAATTTAAATTTTTGGAAAATAATGGACTGTTCTAAATATCCTGATATGTTCCTTGCTGTCTAACATTTCCCCTTCGCTCCAGCGTCTATCTATCACGCCCCCTCTCCGCTGTCAATTTAGTAGTACGCCGTATTGGATTTGCTTATTGTTTGCCTTTTGTTAACCACAGAATAATTGGCTCTACCAAATATGGATAGTAACAATCGTGCCACACTAGATATAAATAGAAATATGCGCGCACATTTTTAAACAATATGTTTTGAGACCAAATGGCTGTGCTTTTGTTCTTGTGCCACGGTCGAGGCTCTGTATGCCCGAGAAATGTGTATTGAAATCAATTGCATCGAGGCTCCGTATGTTCTTTCATTAAGTGGCACCGTGGTACAAATATTTAAAAAATGTGCTGTCGAGTTGTGATTCCGGTGATACTGGGTGCCTAATAAGTCTCTCTTGAAAACAAACAAAACGTGTTCGGTCTGCAGGAAACTGACGATTCAGCACGCAAGAATTTTATTGAGTTCGAATTTGAGTTTATTGCAAGGATTCCCCTTGCTCTGGCAATGAATATTCAAAGAATAGTTGAAAAATTTATTAAATCACGAGACCATGCAGCTTTGAAGGAACTTTTCGTGGACGAGCTGTCGAAGCTTCGCAAAAGTATGCCTAGTTTAATTTGTCAAGAATTTGATCTGGCTAAAGATAAAGATAATTTGATCTGTCAGTTGTAAGAACTAGCCATTATTTATAAATTTGTAAATGTATATTATTTAAGTGCGTCCAGTGACTAGCCTACATCAGTTTGCATCGTTATTTGTTTGCAAGTTGAAAACATAGAGCCAGTATTGTTTAATGATAAAACGACAGGAGCGGTGACAGCTTTGTGTTAAATGTAACAATGTTTTCGGTATAAAAGCTATACCGGTCTCTGTATGCTCAGACTGGGCGTTTCCCAAAGACCAGAGGGCGTGGTCACCCAAAAAATCCTGGGGGCTAAGCCCCCCGGACCCCCACTGTTCTTGTGCCACGGTCATGATTTTTTCTGCGTCCGCCTCTGCACAACCGGGTATATATATTTTCTAGCGTAGAGTTTTCATTTTATGTTCTGACGTTTCATGCTCTGAAGAGTGTCAGATGAAAAGCTTCTGTATACTCAAATGTTTGCTTTTTTCAAAGCCATAGATAAAGATATCCTTGTTGAGTCATAACTTAAAACCTATTGGACATTTGCTTGATTTTCACTCAAAATCGTTCGATGTGTGAGCAGGATCAAGATATCAGCTTCATATTAGCCTTTGTCTTCACGGGTACCAATCATTGTTTTTATCAACCAGGCTAGAATGTTTTGAGGGGGGCTAAACATGCTAAAACCACGAGCATGGTGATTTTTTGCAGAGTTTTAAATACATTTTTGAAATTATTGGGGTTCATAAAGCCTCCTCAGCCCCCTTCCCACTTCCGCGATCCCTGACAATACGTGTGATGTCATTGATGAAATTAAATTTTCAATATCAATTTAAAATTTTAAAACAACATCAAATAAATAAACAATTATCGAAACAGTTATTGCAAAAATTGAAAAAAAACCTGTAAATGTTTCAGGCTTCCGATATTCTCGATCCGTTTCAGCTTATTCATACTCTAAACAAAAAAAATGAAGTGTCAGTCGGGCACACCAAGCTCAAAATAAATCATCTCCACACTGCTCTGTTCCACATGATACATTTCACTTATCAACGTTTATGTAATTTTTCGAACAAAGACTGGGATGGAATTATTTCAAAATAAGAGTCTGGGCGAAAAGCATAATTTTTACAAGTAGACAAAAAGGCATACATTATATTCATATATTTCTGTTATGTTGCACTGCTTAAAAATATTGTTGTAACCAGACACGAAAAAGCTGTTGGAGGGGGGGGGGTGAATACATTTGACGAACTGTATTTTCTACTCACCAAATCTAAGTACTTCAGTGGCAAATTGTCCAAACCACTCAATTTTTCAATAACGTTATTAGAAATACTCAGGATTTTTAGTCGTTTGCAGTGTTCAAGACCAGTTATCTCTGTAATGGTATTATCTTTAGAATTAAGTTAAGAAAAGTATTAAATAGTGTATATGAATAGCTATGGCATAAAACTTTTGCTTAGCCTTTGCAAAGAATTGTGTACGGTGTATTTCATGATGGCTCTTTAGCAGCTGGTTCGTCTAAACTGGGGTAGCACCAGAGAAACAAGCACCAAAATTAATGAAAATTTTCCTTTTCTATGAAGTAGCCTTTTTGAACAATAAGCCTTTTCGTTGATATGGTACCCCTTCCTACCCGTTCCCCTTCAACTATGAAGTGCGTTCGATATCTCTACCTAATACCTTTTACTTGAAAATGCTGAGTGTTTATCATCTATTGTTAGCGCCAGCCTCACTAAAGATTTGAGTGGGGGTCATACCCCTTTCAGCAGTATACATTGCTGATAATGGGTTACCAAACTACTTCTATTGAATAATCTTTCTACTTTGACCCTGGAAGTGCAGCCCATGGATGATTTGAAATTGACCTTACATGTATCGTAGATGATAATTCCGTCACCTTCATTGCGCTGTTATTTTTTGGGTGTATATTATAAAAACTATGCTCTTTGACATTAAGTACCTTAAAAAGTTAGTATAATTCCATTGAAAACTCAAGCTATGTTTTAAAATAAATACTTGCATCTAGTCAAATGTTATTTCATATCTACTAAGCAATTTTCAAATAAAAAATCAACAAAATATTCTAAGGCTATGTCCATAAACAAGAAAACTTTAATTTGAAGGATACAATCAAGTATTAATTTGTTGAGATTCTTGTGTTGACTGAGGTCTGTCAATGTCTCTATTTTGTTGTTTGATAAATTTACTTCCTAGAAAAAATCAGATTCTAAAAAAATCAGAGAAATACTTGAAAGTATAATCAATGGTAAACATAGAATTTGAATGATTGAAAAAAGAAACATAACACCGGTTAGAGGGCCGTAAATCCCGGGGGGACGGGGGAACTGGACCCCCCCCAAAAAAATCTGGACCTAAACGATTTTTTTAGAAATTATCGTTATTTGCTTTTAAAGAAAGGAATCCCCGGTAGCTGGGTTAGAACCTAACAAAGTTTTGCTGAGTTATTGCAGCATACCTCAGCCACTATATCATGGTGACTATTGTCAAGCGCAAGTTGACTATTGTAGATGGCTGTTATTTCTGTTTGCAGAGTGGTGTCGAGTCGGTGACAATGCTCATGGAGGGAATTAGCTCCAAATATCTTATCCACCGGTCTCCCCTTGAATAAATCTCAAAAAGCATGTAAGAAAAGAATCGTTTAAGTCGCCATAAATTTCGACAAACCCATATTACACATATTTTGATACACGTCTTTTTATAAAAATCCTGACTCAAAACCTAGGTCCTAAAGTTCCTATTTTCTGAACCTCTATTAGTCAAATTGCGGTACCAAGACCTCCATAATAGCTCCTCAATTTTAACTGCACAGGAACAAGGAACAAAGCCAAAAGACAAAGAGGGCAAGGAGTAAAATTAATTTGCGTAATTTACGCGAATTTTTAATCTGCGTAAAAGTACCACGTCAACAAAGAAGTACTTTTGCATTTAAAATAGAGAGAAGCAATGACTAAACTCTTTATTATTAGAATGCAATAAATTTTGTCCATCCGTGACTTTTTTAGGAAAATTTTCATTGGGAGCCCGAATATGTTCTTAGATACATCCTAATTTTTTTCGAATCCGATATGGTTTCAAGAAGAAAAACGCTTGCTCTTGAATAGAAAACACCTTTTCTTTCTTTTCTCCAACGTCTGTTACTAGAGTTTAAGCATTTCCCCAACATCTGTCACTAGACTCTTCCCCTTCCCAATTTCTCCCAGAAAAATAATCTGTGTTCTTCTGATAAAAGGTCGATTTGTCTATCCGGAACGGTATAGTATTTTGTTAAACTTAGTCAGGGAGATGCTTTTATAGCTATTTGGAAGGTATGATTTCAAAAATTTCCTTTCACGTCGGCCCCAACCATGGTGGGTCCTCCTACATCACTAAACGTGATTCTCAGCCCCCAAGGTTTAATTTATTCAAGCTATCCCTGAAAAATGTTATCAACTCAACTATAAAAAAGTCAACGTGCTAAGATTTATCTAAAAAACTTTTTTTGTTTATTGAGTCGTTTGCCACTCAAACTGTTTCCTTAACACACTCTATAAATTTATTGCTTGGTGGTGCCATGATCCACTGCACACTTTACATTCATTCGCTCTGCTGACCCACCCCCCCCCCCCCAATTGACAGGACAGATTTACGGCTCTGACCGGTTAACAATCAGATACACAAGAAATTTCAAGACTAAGTGGGTAAATTCATAAAAAATGCACTACCAGCATGGAGAAGTGAAGTAATCGCTATCTATTAGCATGGGCATACCTTGACGATTTGGAGTAGGGGGTGTAAACCAGTGAATTTACAGACTAAAATTCTACTCTTGCATTTTGTACAGTAAATGATAGATGAAGATGATAACTTTGTTAAGCTATTGCATAATGAAATCTTTTCATCAATTTAAACAAATCTTTATTTTATATTCTGTTAAATAAAATTCCATTGGTTTAACATCTAGTTAACTGAATTAAAGATAACTCCTTACTCGTAATGAAAGTGGTGGCTGAAACTCCAGCACTGTCGACAATTTGTTATGTGATGCATCCAGTGAGATTAAATTAGGCAGATTTGATAATGTTGTCAAATCTAAAGAACAAAAAATGATTGGAAATGTAGGCAATGAATCAAGGCAAAATGATAACATCAGAATTGTTTGAAAAGTAAGCAATATAAAGAGGTCTTTTAGTGTAAAAGAGGTCTTCTAGTGTAAAAGTTAAGGATGATAATAAATGAATGTTGGTGAAGAAGTTAGTTTATCTTAAGTTCATAATTTTACTTTCCTTCACAATCCTATCAAAAAAATCTTATTTATATTTTATACAAAGACTTGAATAGGTAAAGACAACAACTGGTGCAATAAAAAATCTTAAAGCTTAATGCAACTCCAGTCTTAGGTTAATTCCAAGGATCTTTAATGGAGCAATCAGGGTCAATCAAAAATCATATGTCATTTATAAATTAATATACAAGCCAAGCTAATAAAGGGATAGAATTCTTAACTGTACAATGTTTTATAGAGAATATGAAAACAAAAGTAGCATTTACCTTCTAACTCATTATGTGAGACATCCAAGATCTGTAAGTGGTTATAAGATGAAATACCCTCAATGGACTGTAGTCCATTTTCCTATGAGAATGAATTGTGAATGAATAAGCATAAGTTATGTAGAATTACAAACATTACATATATGGCTCTGGCACCCTACATTTGTGTATTCGAACAAACCAAATGATGAGTAGAGAAGTTCACTTTATAGCTAAACATCAAAATTGTAACTCTAGCACAACATATTTCATTTCACTAATGTCCAAAATGAAATGAGATTTTCATCAATTAAAAGATGCTCCATTAGAAGATGCTGTTTTTGATGGCTGCTTTAATTTGTCCAAGAGTAATATCTACTAAGGCTTGTTAATTCTGGGCTAGAATTTGAGTAAGTATGTGATAGGTTGCCTGAACAAGATGTTTTTGCAAGAGCCTTTTAAGAGCAACTTTTGCTTTGTAGGAAATTATGCTGAATTATGCAATCCAGTAACTTCGATGCAAAACTGGGTTAACACAAGAAAGAATATGTTATTGCAATAAAACAACTCAAAAATTTACATGTACCAACCCGAAGAGAAAGTGATAGGAAAACCTGCATTGTGCCATCAGCAGATCTACCTAATTGTGAAAGTCCCTCTGCAACCATAGTTTCAAATGGGTCTTCTTCCTATTAAAATATAAAAATTAATATCTAAACTAGTGAAGAAAAAGACAAGGACACAAATGACAAGTTTGGATCATCAACCTAGCATATAACTTCAAGTATACCGATGACATCACATTGGCATCTACTGCCAAACATCGAATAGATCATATTAAAAAAAACCATTCCAGGTAAACTTGAAGAAAGAAACCTGCAAATAAACGAATCAAAAACAGAAGAATATAACATTGAGCAAAAAGGAAATGAAGCATGGAAAGAATGCAAAGTTCTAGGAAGTCTTCTCACTAAAGAAAAAGAGATCAACAGAAGAAAGATATTGGCAATTGATGCCTACGCAATGCTCAACAGCATTTTCAGCGGCAAGAAAAACTCCATCAAGATCAAATGGAGAACCTTTAATGCCTTTGTAGCAAGTCTATTTTTGTATAATAGTAAACTGTGGACACTAGCAAAGAAGCCACCATTGACACTTTCCAACAAAGATATCTAACAAAGATCCTAGGAATTAACTGGCAAAGAAATATTACCAATAATGAGCTCTATGCCAGAATGAAATGTGAACCATGGAGTGGAATAATATAAGAAAGGAGAGACTAACATAGCTAGGACATCTCATGCACTTGCATCCAGAAACACCAGCAAGAAAAACCCTTAAAGAATATCTCAAGAAAGTAAAACGGCAACAAGGACAACCAAAGACGAACTGGATGCAGACAGTGAGGCAAGATTTGGCCAGCATCGGAATTAAAGTGGATCTCTCAAAAGAAGCACAAACATTGAATAGATTATCTGAACTGGTTTCATTAGTGGCATCAGCTATATTATAGAACTGCATGCTTTAATTTTACTTACTGAGCTACGTATCAAATGCATGCATAGCTTTTGATTTGGAAAATTTACACACACAATCCCCTCTCTTTAGCAAATTCACCAATTTATTCTTTGCATTTCTTAGTTTACTTATTACTATTAAGGAACGTTTGTACTCCATGTAGCCAAAGTACAGACTTCTCAGTAAAGACAAATAACATCAAAGGGATAGTAGATGAAATTGCCAACAAAATGCTGGAATTTTTATTTAAATCTATATATTTGAGCAATGACACCAAAGTCTTTTCATTTGACACACTGGAAAACGAATTTTGTCAAACGTAATCAAGGGAAAAAGTGGGAAAAAGAATTTCACAAAATTTTATGAGACATGACTGACAAATTTAGAATTGAGGGTTGTGTGTTGTAAAATCCATCACATAATGGAAAAATTGGTTGTCACTTTGGAAGTGTTTTGGTACTACAAAAAACTGACAACACCGATAGCAGAGAGATTCCCCCTTGAAACCCAGACAATAATTCTAGAAAAAGGTTGCACCCTTTGAGCCACCATTCCCTTAGAAACCATCCCTACTCTTGTATGGATTTTAGGAAGGTCAAAAACAGACGTAGATAATATTGATACCTCATGTAAGATTGGCGTTAGTATGTTGCAAATATAATGCAAAAATGGTATAAATATTTGATATTGGCCTTAACAGAGTATCATTTACCTAATGAAACGAAAGAATGGGGAAAAACTAAGGGTCCTCATATAGAGTGCGGTGAACCGTTAGGCCGTAACTTCAAAGATTACCTCTATTTCTTCAACTGCAATATAATCACCATTAGCTATTTCATTATCAATCTTTGATACAAGCTCCTCCATAAAACTTTTCGGCTCAGGACTTGCATTTTCATTACAAACATTTGATTCCGATGGTAAAATAGTATCACTGTTGTTATTGCCAGACTGATCATTTTCTTCCGCCATTTTGTTTAAGTTCTCACCTTGGTAACGCTCCTGCACAGCATCTAGAGTTCACAACTTCTTAACCAGGCAAACTTTGGTGCAGTCTTAGCGCGGAGAACAGAAGAGGGGCTCAGGGCCTCGCCCCCCTCGGAACAAGCTGAGCTTATCATCAATTTATTACGCAATTTTTTTAAATTATCGGTTTACACATCAAATCACGTCAAGGGATGTTACTAAGTATTTTTATTATCCAAACATTGAGTGTCAGAAGTAACACTCATTAACCTACAATTTTTTTTATACAATTTTATAAGAACATGAGACTCAAATTGGTCAAATGTTAAGAACAAATTAAGAACAAGCTGAGGCTGAGCTTCTACAAAATGCAATTTTGAACAACGTTTTTTCTCAAAATCGAGGATTTTTAGCGATGTGTTGGTGTTTTTTCGGTGAATATTCAAATTTGTCAGCAAATTAAGGCTGTCTCACTCACTTTGTTGGCAAATGAGGCCTGAACACCTCCTCAGAGCGAAAAAGCTAGCAATAGCACTGCTTACACCCTCTAAATTTAAGAACAAATTAAGAACAATCCAGCCTCAGATTTTCGAAAAAATTAAGAACAGTCAGCCTGAACTTAAATTTACTGGTTCTTATAAAAAAAGTGTACTTTTATAAGAAACTCGTTATAAGAACCGAGTACTGGATTACCAGCAAGAACTAAGATACTTCAGTACACGAAGTAAAAAAGATTAGGAAACAGTCGAATCTTGTCTTGAATATACCTAGAACTCCTAGATTTTGTGAAAATCCATGAACATAGCATGACTGCTGTAGCTATGGCTCGACTATAGTCAATTGAAACTATGATTTGACTAAGCCGTTCCCTCTCACTCCAATTACAACTACTTTACAATGCTTTTGGCATTCAAGCAGAATCTACACTTGTACTATATGTTGTTGTTAATTTCCAACCACACATTTTGTTGTTTTTCAAAAAGCCTATGCCTATCAAATAAGAAATCCACTAAAATGTAAAGGGTAAAATAACCCTCCTCCTCCATTACCATGGGGTTTTATTCTAATTATTAGGGTATACACCGGTAAGATACATAAGTGATCTCTTTGATAACGAACGTGTAGGTCATTGCAATGCTTTCAAAGAAATTATCCGAAACAGTTTCTTTCAAAATATAAGTAGCTGACTTCATTCCGCTCTTATTTCGAGTTATAAAGTGTCCAGTCTGAAGAGAATGTAATGTTCACATCCGCCCATGTAATCCCCTGATCAATGATGTAATCTCGTACACACGTGTTTTGTTACTGCCTTCAGTTTCATATGTATGGAGTCCATATACAATTGATATTTTAGTAATTATATTATCATGGACATTTTCCTATGACCAGCTCCTAAAACATTATAGAAAATGATTACACATAAAGCGAATTATGAGGGCTCCATTGTTTCACAATCGAGCGAGATTCAGTAGCAAATTTTCAAGAAAAAGACACCTAGAGATTTAAAAATTATAGTTTGTCATGTGCATTCTAGATCAATAACGTAAATAATCTTACTAATATGTTCTGCAAAATGAAATGGTATTTATTACTTTTATAGACAATGAATCAACGATAGCATGTTTGATATTACATATTTTCTTTTACTTCAGCAAAAAAGGTTGCTACGGAATAAGAAATGTAAGAAAAAAGTATAAAGATAATAAGCAAATTGACATTCAAAGAAGCAAACAAACTAACGACAAATCATTAAGGAAGTGGTAACAGACTTTGCATCAACAGAACCAGTTCTCTGTGATGATCTTCAAGGGTATGCAGTGCGATGTGGGATTTACCCACAAACACCTTTAAAATAGTAGAAGCGGGGACAATCGCCCCTTGATCTGGTTAAGTGGAGATATACTCTTGATATTACTGTTGCAGCGCTCGTTTTATTGATGTTCTTCTTCCGTCATATTTACTTTGTGAATTACATTTACAAAAGACTGGCTATGAAATTTTGTAGCGTGTGTCGACAAAGAAATTATTAATATCTATAAAAAAATTATTGATTATTATGTAAGCTGTAATTAGATGTAGGATGGTTAATTAGGGAGCCAGCTCGATTATCTAAAACCACTTCTTCCTCAAAAAGCATGCAGCCTTTTTACAGATCATCGGTCAGTTTGGCAAGGATCTTCTGTGGAGTTTCACAGCAAGTCAAATAGGCACATTTCCTCTCTGCACACAGGAGCAGACAATCGCCACCGTTTAGATTGCGTGAAAGGCTGCAGTCAGTGTCATTTTTTCTTCGAAAAACTTCAGAGAATTCAGGTTGTATCGTAAGCGAACTGATTCCTTCTTGCATGAAGAAAGCCTGTACGCCTTTGATCGAATGCTGATTGAAGGCCTTGTGTGATCGAAAGACAATGTGTGCAGATCCTGATGAGAAATCAATAGTTATTCAAACCTACCATCTCTGCCAAAAGTCTTAGAACTCTAACGTCAGTTTACAAAGGCAAATTTAGCTACCCCTCTTCTTGCAACAATGTTGGTTTACTATTGAAAGAACATAGAGATCATGAAATAGCTTATTCATCTGTCATAGTAAGGAGCAACGGACTAAAGAAAGGTGATATTAATATATACGAAGTGGTTTTGAAAATAATTAACTCTAATGTCGTCAGGTTGTGACGCCGAGATATCAACCTAACCAAAAGAGGTTTAACTGAAGACAAACGATATTTTGGCTCAATAAGTAACCTATGATGGCTGACGGGCCAATAGTTTGGATATGATCTGTTGGATCAAAGGTCTTGATTTAATACTTTGTAATTCTTTCCATCTAACCGTTAGGAATCGTCATATTCTGTAGCGAAACCATTAGCCGGGGGAAGGGGGGGTGGTGGTAGCTGAAATCTGTGAATAGGATAAATTGATGATACCAAATCCTTTTTACCTTGAGAAACCCCTTCAGTTTGCCAAACTTAAGAGCCACCGCCTTCCAGACATAAATTTATTGTACAAATGCTTTGCTAATATGCCTTCGTAGCTTTTAAATCTAACCATACCCAATAAACTTATACCTGCTTCAAGAAAAATGAAAGTGACGGTATATTGGCATATATACGGAGAGGCGGATTATCCCCTATGAAAATGAGTATGTTGATATAAGCTGCTTAAGGTTTATCAGTACCAGATAAAGATAAAGTAGGCAAATTAATGAATTTACAAACCAACGATCTGATCACCAGCAAGCTGCCAAATGTGCAGTTCATGAACGCCAATTACTTGGGGGATGATCTTTATGAGTTTTTCTTCTAAATGATTTAACTGTATACTTGTCGGTACTGTCTGCATGAAAATAGCGAGGCACTCCTTAAGCAGTGGCACAGAGGTTTTCAAAATGAATACAACGACTACGAGACTAAGGGCGGGATCGACGTAAACAAGCCAGCCTCCTTTTGCATACATGACAATCAATGCTGACGTAATGACGATGATGGCTACAAAAACATGCTGGAGAATGTGGAGATAAACTGCATGGATGTTCAGTTGGTGTGATGGACGTGCAGAGCTGCTGCTTCTTCTACTGTCTCCTGGCACATTTGGTAGTAAACCTGTTCATAGGAAGAAAGAAAATACACAGTTGCATGCTCTTTTATTGTAATAGCTTGTCTTAAGCGAAGAATCACGGGCTTATTTTATGCTTACTTTTGTCACAGTCAAAAAGTCTGATTTATTTGTGATTAAAGGCAGTCTGTCCCCAATTGTGGTCAACTTTTTATTTTCACGGGAGTGAAATTCACGCACCGTTGAGCTTGATCGATAATTAAAAGATTTAAACCAATCAGAGACAACTTTAATTCCAGAGATTTTGAATCAAATGGCTGTGTTTCCATTGTAGTGAAGCTGTGGCTAGAAAAGTTTGGTTCCTTGTTTGGTTTCTGCTACGCTACAGATGTGTCAACAGGGAAAATAAATGCTTCTTTTTTCATCATTCAATTCCAGTAATGAAATCTTCTTGCCAATCACTGCCAAAACTCTTGGAACACTTGTGATATTTTCAACGTTTTCATGCATCCGTTCCCCTCCCCCCCTTCAAACAATGTTGTCTCACAGCTAAGTTAAGACATACTTTTGTGGCAAACCTTTTTCTACCGATCGCCCTGATAAACTGCATTGTAAGCAACATTGTTTTAGAGGGGGAGGGGGGTTTGTCTATTAGAAACACGGGAAATATACGAAAAAAGCAAAGAGTTAGCAAAATACGTAGGTGTTCCAAGGAGTTTTGGCAGAGATTGTAGGCCAGCCAAAGCGAGCAGCGTAACCGTTAAGACTGGATAAGCTATTGTTCATAATAGCCAATCATTGAGTGGACAGACTGCCTTCAAACTGTGAATTTGGAATAAAATTGTACGACATTATGGCAAGCTTAAAAAAGCCACAATGAAAATATCTGCGACACAATGGAAAGCAGATCAGCGAAAAGAATTGAAATATATTTAACTTGCTAGCTCTCTAACTAGTCTAGCGGACAGAAGCTGGAGATTTACATATTCAACAATCATCGACTACCAAATAATTGGAAAACAGATATTTTTTCTAATTCCACAATGCTCAAGCTTCAATAGCAGAATATTATGGTTCACCGTGTATAATGACTTCGCCCATTCCAGTCAAAATAGAATACGAAACGGAGGTCGAGTAAAAAGTGATACTTTCATCACTTTCTGAGGGTAGACGAACAATTTCCATAAAACTGGGCATTAACAAAACTCGCCAAACCACGCTAGACATTCACTCGTCAGGACGAAACCTGGAGCCTTCGTTTAGACAATAATTACGATTTAAGCTTGCCCCTGAATGCAATATTTTTGTCGCTGCATTTCAAACCAGATTTGAACGTTCATTTCAAAACAATAGATATAACTTACGTGAACTTTGACATGAGCTGGGGCTGCTTTCGGACTTTACATCCACTGAAAATTTCTTCAAGTCTTTAACAGTCTCCTCCTTTTTGCTATAGCATTTGAAGCTATCATACCGAAACAAAATGAGTCCGGTTGCATTTACAACTAATCCGATAACACCGACAATGAGTACAGCATCTGGGTGTTCGATGCTATCAGGAATAACCAATCGTTTCAGCGACTCTACACATAAGCTGAAACAAATTGCAACTAAAAAAATTGCGTTTACAGTAGCACCCAGAACCTCTGCTCTCACAGTACCAAATGTATATCTTCCTTCAATCTTCCTCTCTGAGAATCTTAGGGCTAGATAGCCGATAACAAGAGCTGCAACGTCTGATGTCAGGTGAAACGAGTCGGCAATGAGAGACAAGGAATTCTCCTTGTAGCCTATGAAAACTTTCGCCAAACACAAGGTAAGAGTTAGAACAATCATTGCCAGGAAACTGAGCCTGTACTTTGTTCGATAGGTGTAACACGTCATTTTTCTTTCAGTCCAAAATACAGCAATGCACTGTCAAGGCCACGGTTCCCTAAAAAAATACGTCAGCTGTGGTGAATCACTAAAACTAGATGGCTAGGAAACATAACCTTAGGGCAAAGTAGGGTGAAGCTCTTCACCTTGATATGTATTTCTCATCTTACTGATTAGCAGAGTTTTATGGGTTAGTATTGGGTTTCATACAATAGCACACTCTTTACGATTCACATTGATCGTCAGTAATTTTCAAGACAATTATGTACTTTATACAAAGTTTGAATCGGAAGATGAAATTCCTTTTCATCTAAATGTGTCAATAGTAAGAAATATAAAGGAAAACTATGATAAATTCTGTATCTTAAAATTACCTGCCAGCCAAAAGGCTAGGTACACAAAAGACACACGTTTCCCCAAATACTGGAGTTCTGCATTTATAAAGCGCATGCAATGCGTAATAAAAAATTCACTTCACAAATGCTACCACGCCCTGACCATTAGGACTTTCTTTTCATGGTAGAAAACAAACACTCTTACCTTAATACGTTTTCTAAAATACATTTAAAACTCAAATCTATTTGTGAGTTAAATTGCAATTGTAGCTATATATCAATGGACCTTTATCATAATGTTTGAAACTTCGGTGGGGAACATTAAGTGGAAAAGGGACATTTTCGGACAGATAAAAAAATTTAAGTGGATTTAACTTCGGACAAAACTTTTTGCGGGAGAAAGTTGCGACATGTAAACTGGGGCGTAAATTTCAAAAAAAAAGGAGGAAAAAGCTATGAAATGAGCACAAGTATTGAGGGTTTTGCAAAGTCTTTTCAATACGATGAGATCAAAGTTAGCCTAAAGGTTCAGGAGACAAATTTCTTTAAATAGGCGTTTCTTTTTAAAAAATGTGCTTTTAGCCCCGTTATCAAAATTCAAAGTTAACTCGGGGGCTTAGCCCCCTTAAACAACCTTTTTATATGCTGTTGCCCCACTTAAACAACCCCTTTATTTCTGTAGATTTTCCTTGTATGAGCTAATTACAATCAGTCTTTTTGAGACCGTGACTTGTTTGAGCGATTTCATATACTCAGTAAAGCATCTGACAAAACGGCCAAAGATGCCATTCTACTAGAGTTTTTGCTACGCTTGTGGAATGGGTGTGGCTTCTAGAGGGTGTGGCTACAGAACAGCCCCGTCCAAAACCTTTTAGTACGGCACCCTTGTCTCCTTCTTATAGATGTGCTTGGGCTTCTTTTCAGGCACATGGATTCACAGGGAAGAACAATCCTGCACCGAGCAAGGCAAGACCCCCCCCCCTCGGCACAAAAAAACTGTCCCCGGGATAGACTGTCTCAACCATATTCCTCGGTCACAAGTCTTACAAACCCCGGTACCAAAAGTCTTTCAAAGTTTCCCCGGCAATCCAACTTGTAGCAAATTTTGGAATTCAGAAGGGAACCAACAGTCATTTATGGCTGATGCATGCGTAAACTACCTTTTAAATTTATATTTATTGGAGCGAATTCGCATCTCCTGCAATCTGAGACTCCCGTAAATGAGATCACTGATTACGAGATTAAGGTCTTTAAGTCTTACGAGACTTACGAGAGTTTCGAATCAAATTACTGAATAGTCTGAAGGCCATACAAGGTAGTATTTTTAAGAGCTCTAAACACCTCTTGTAGCCTGACGAGTACCAATCCCATGAACAGTTGATTTAGCTGAAGGTAGCCATGAAAGCTAGAAGGAGATAGCTTCTTTGGATAGACTGTTCACCGATCTTTGTGGGGATTATTTGACTGTAACTATGCAGGGAATTTACCTTAACAATGTCAGATGCAAAGAAGAAAAACATGATAAAAAGAGAAAAGCATTGAGATATAACAGGAGATCATTATAAAGGTTTGCTTGGTCTAGAACAGGCCAATAATGATGCAATGGACACACCCACAGTATGTCAGAAGAGAAAGAGAAAGAAAAAGCTAACCCCAACTAGAGGAGCTTATCAGTCACACTCTTTTGATATCAGCGCTTTTTCTGTCCTGGCACCCTCACTTGGATGGTATTTTCTACAGAGGCCAATGATTTCGAGATTTCTTGTTGGTACTAAATCTGAAATCAAGAGCCTCCTTTGGTAAAATGGTACCATGTGTCAAATTTCCCTGCAGTTTTTGGGAGAATCGTTAAATGAAATTCACCATGAGCTCCAGACCCTTTTAAAATTAAAAAAGAAATTCCAAGATGAGAAGAGGGTCAATTGACAATAAGTGGGTCTGTTTACCTGGCTTTAGAAGTAACGCAAAAGCATTCTATTTCCAAGACCACGGAAAAATTGTATCAGTTGTTTTTATCTGCTGCCCAATCTGTTTTCAAAAATGAAGGAATTTTCAATACGATTAGAAAAATTGCTTGAGTAAAAATTGCTTAGAACGGTGCATTTTCCTTCTAGCAAACTAGATTCATCAAAATTTTAAAATTTCCTCCTTCGGCGGCAACCATGGTGCCGCCTAGGGTAGTTACTATATCCAGAGCTTATCGCGATATACAGATCCGATCTATGCACATTTCAAAACTTTATCCAGCTAAATAAAGGTTTGATGCAGGCAAATTACATATGCCATGTTCCTGTTTTTTATGTCCCCATTTAAAAGGATACTGTCCTCGGTACAAATTTAGGAATCTCCGGTTTCAAATTTGACTATCGTTTTCCCACCAAAAAGTGACCGCCACCCAGGCACAAAGCCAAGGGTGGGGGACACAGGGGGCATTGCCCGCCAAACTATAAATTTTGGCCCTATCTGCCCGCCAAAAAATTTTAGGAAGAAAATATTTGATGTCTAAAAACACAGCGCCTTCCTTTTGAAAAAAGTCGCTCTCAACAAAATCTGTGCATCGTGCATTCATGGTGAAAACTAATATCGACTGTGCACCAGTCCACACAATGCTATAGAAAATCGAATTTCCTTCATTTTGAACGCCAATCTTTGATGTGACTGCAGATTCATAACTTTTTAAATATGATAAGGCTCCATTGTACCTACTATTATGGCTTAGTTCCTATTTACAGTTGACTTCTTTATTTATTCTGTTAAACACGCAGTGAAAACAAACCCCTTCAGATGCTTTCCAATCGCCGGTGAAGGAAGATTAGAAAGATAAATCACAAAAAGCTGTTTTTAAATGCTTAATTTGGATCACAACCTGAGAGATCTCTAAACATGCAAAATCAGTTAAATGAGTTAACAACTGGCTGTGATGTGGAAACATGAGCATCAAGTCACTCCATCACTCCATCAAGCCCCATCAAGTCACTGTGATTTTGTTTCTGCTATAAACTTGATGAACCATGCCAAAACAGCAGAAATCTTGCAGAACTTAATATCGTTAATTGGTCATATCCTGCCCAATTTTTAATATATTGAACTGATTTTTTGTATCCTTAGAGGTAATTCGTGGTGTTCTATTAGGATATGTGGTCCAAACTTGAAATCTCCAAAAATATTTGTACGACGTAATATTTGAGAACTCTGTTGTCGCTACCTGCCATTCCTAAATGTTTCCAAAATGTCGAAACTATTGTAAAATTTGCTGGCACATTATAAAATTCCTGACACCATTTGTTGTTTGATACCGAGAGAATAAATGACACGTTTTGACCCACCAAATCTATTCTTTTTGTTCCATCCAAAGCTAAGACTTTCTATTATACAGATATTAAAACTTAGGTACTAAACAGCCTTTCGCAAGCACTGTTACGCCATTAAATTATTTGAATATATTTGAAACGAAATCTCGAGTGCTTTCACAAGCCACTCGGGTTGAATGCCATCAGCCTTTTTCCTAGCGTATGTACAAGTGTCTCAAAGTGTGTCTACAAGTCCCTGATATGATAAAAATTTCTACTCTTTATAAAGTGTCCACGGTGACTCTTACTAACCTATTTACAACATTGCTTTTGCCGTAGTAGAAAGGCGGTATTTAACCTGGATACATAAAAACGTAAGTAGGTAGGATACGCGGGTGAACTTTGTGGGGTAAAAGGGCATGTAAAATTTTACGTACCGGAAAACATGAAAAACTAACACGCGACAAACTAATATATCCTTAACAAAGAGAAGCATTAAGAAATATTACTAGACAAGAGAAAAGGAATTTTTCATCCATTTTTGAAGGAATTTTGCTTAAATATAAGGATTTTTATGGAAATCAGTTGAGCCAAAACTTATCCCTCATAAAACACTTTTTGGCTTCGCAACTATTGCCCGCCCACCTTTCAGTGCTGGGTTCGTGCCTGCCGCCACCCCGGCAAAAATCTGACCTCTCACCGCGGCTCTATGACAGGTGTGTGTAAGAGCTGCAAGTATTGTCTACGTGGTAGCCGGTAAAACCCCCTTCCTTTCTTCGTTTGGAAGAAGTAAGAACGGCAGGAGGAGCAAGGTGACAGGAAAAGGGCAAAACCCAATAAAGAAAACTGGTAAATTTCCCGAGGGCCCCCCTGTGCCTCCGTGTTTTTCAGTTGGTCGGCATAAAAGGTGAAATAGAAGGGTTCTTAAATTTTTCATTATGAAACTCCACCCCCTGGTTTGTCAGGTCCAGGTACCGCGTTCCGCTGTTAAGGAAAATCATATAATGAAATCCCATTTTGTGCATCCAAAATTCTGTGAAATGCTGTATCCAAAAGCAAGAGGCTGAGTCAAACAACAAGTGGTCAAAAATTAACATTAAAGTAGATTTGTGATGATAAAAAAGAGCATGACACTGTTAAGCAATTTTTTGGTGGTCAAATCAAACAAAGTTGGTTTCAGTCTTGTTTTATCAGCTGCAATGCAACGAGATCATCGATTCTGCTAACGCTATCTCTAGCCCACTGCTCTTGCAAGCTGTGGCATTTAAAAGTAACTAGTTAGCTGGTTATCAATAATTTAAAAGTAAGTTGTAGTTACCTGATAATCTTGTTTTGCTTCACAGGAAATATTTCACGTCTTCTGCGGGATTATTGAATCTGAATTTAACTAGGCCAGTGTTTACTTCTCGCCCGAGCGCCTTTGTCTAATGACAAATAGCCTTGTTCGAATAAAATGTTTACACAGTGACGACAAGAGTGAAGACAAGCGATTTTGCAATAGCTTTTGTCCCTTTATTAGCATTTTTGTCCTTGAAAAAGGCATCCAACCCACGTGAGAAAGATATGTTAACTTGCTGCAAAAGAGGATGTTTTGAAAGCTGATTAATCGAATGTAATAAACGGAATTAAAGCTAATCGTTTCAGTCAGGAAACAAAGAGAACTATTTCAAAGAAACTGTCGCCTACCTTTGACCCAGCGGAACGTTAAGTCGTGTAATGTGGGGTTGATAAGGTTGAGGGTCACGCCAGGTAGCAATTTGATATGCGTAAAGATGGGATATAGGCATTCTGAAAAACCGAGTCCTAAGACCCTAGGGCCAGGGGCGTGGCAACCGGGGGGTGTGTGGGGTGTCACACCCCCTCCCCAAAGTATCTCATTAGGAAATTTCAGGTAAAACCCGCTCGGTGGAAGAAACGCTTTAGGTATTTTTGAGACCTCCCTGTCATAAAATGATAAAAGATCAAGCAAAGATAGTTGCTCCTTTGGCTAAATAAGATATTTCTTGATATGAAGGAAGATAAAAAAACTAATGACTTGAAGATTTCTTGTTGGCACTAAATCGAAAAATCCAGGCCCTCTTTAGGTAAAATTGTGTCTTGTGTCCATTTCCCCTAAAGTTTCTCGGTAGAAGCGTCAACTGCAATTCACTTCGAGCTCCAGATTTTTTTAACATTCAAAAGGCATGCTAAGAAGGAAAGAGAGATCTAAATTGACAACCAGTGCCAAGGCCTAAAATAAGAAATTTTACAGATCCACATTTTTTGAAAAAATTGGGTGTGGTACTTTGCTGGGGTTGGCATCATGGGGGTGGCAAATATAGGAACTGCCAATATAGTGCAAATAGCATGTCCTTATTGGGCAAATTCTTAAATGAATGAAGTATAAGTAGCAAAAGTTGATTCTTTACACTATATATATGTTGGGTTAATAAGAAGATTAGCTACATATAGCGATGTCTTAATATGTGAGCAAAAAGTTATCGAAAATAAACTCTTTTACATGGTTTGTTCGGATCTCGGTCAAAGTTATTTTTTCCTTTCATCTTCAAAAACTCCCTTAAATCAGCCTTGCTTCCCAGACTTTGGTATTTTTTGGTTTTTTGGAACCATATCTTGGCAGCTTTTCTCGGAACTCGAAACTTGCGAGATCAAGCATATTAATTGCAATATTTATCCATTTGATAAGTTTTCTGGAGCTTTGCTGCTTTCCCCACCTGCTTCTATCTTGTTGTAGGTGGGAATCAGCCTCTCTGCATCGATAGAATTAGGGATTGCTGCGATGTCCGGGACAAAAACTGGGTGAAGCTTTCTTAAGTCTCTTTTACTTATAGAAAGTTCTTAACTGAATTCAGCCCACTAAATTCTTTGTCATCAAATCTGTTCTTCAAAAAGTTTTGATACTATAAACTTCGTTACAGATGGCAAATAAACTCTTCTCTCACTGATGTACAAATTGTGCTTGTTTATTCTTATTCTCTTTTCGCCCAGTTTGAAAGCATGATCTTTACCCCCATCTTGTTTGTAATGCAGAAACCACGCACCAGATCTCAATTTTGGAATTACGCTAAATTTGTACTCAAATTTGTAACCCAGTGTACTCATCCTTCATAAACAAATAGGCAATTTAGATCCATGGTTTGATGGCCAAATTTCTCCATTTTGGCAGTTTCTGAAAACCCCTTGGCCGTCATAAATTGATTTGGCCGAAGAAGCAAAATTTGGCTGAATTCTGGCAGCATGTTGCAAAAAACAACGAAAATGCAAAGGAAACAAAAATTTTTTGCACAGATAATATTCAAAATAATTTCAAAATTGCAAATGATGAATGATGAAACAAAGCAAAAGATAACAGACAGTTTTAGATCAAAGCAAGCGAAAACTTTTGTAACCTACAAAGCAAATTTTGATTACGGTATCACTCCCAATAATTAGCAAAAATTTAGCTTTTTGTATACTGCGTTTAGTTGGCTGCATTTGACTGCCAACCACAAAATATGTGGCTGCCACCGGAAACCACTCCTTTCAGAAAATATTTGCTTTTTTCTGTCCTTATCATCTTAAACGATTTAAAGAAGATTTCAATTAACATAAAAATACAAAACCGAGTTAGATAAAATACAAATTTATCTTTGATCACACAAGATAAAGCGTCATCAAAAAGAGCAAAAACGTGTTCCCAGAAGAACTGCTACTAATGCGTTCGTTAGCGTAAACTTTCAAAACATTTTCTAACCTATTATTGCAAAAAAGTTGAGGAGGACTATAGTCCCTGTTATGCAACATTCCCAATTGGATGTTCCTCCCAGCTACCACCGAGAGGCTTATCATCGTTCAGCTACTGTAGCCTTGAGAGGAATCTTTCCAATGGTTCTCCAATTTAAAACACCTTAGTTGAAATGGTTTATAACTTTTTTTGAAATCTACTGAAAGATATCACATAAAAACCCCAAAATACATTACGGGCAGAAAATCATAATCTCGGTCTTGGTCTTAAGGCTCAGTGTCTTTTTTGAATCAAGTCATAAAACAAACTTAATTGAGATGATGTCTTGAAGTTAAAGCTTTAAAGCTGTATACAGAGTCCATTTTACTTCAAAATAGCACACAGCAATGTCATAAAGCGCAATCGATTTTTCTCCGCACGTACTGAAGCTTCGAGCTCTGAAGTTTCTTAATTCTCTTTATTGACCATTGCTTATTTCTTATCGCAATTTTCTTATAAAAAATGAGTGCAATACATAAGGCTGGGATTGGGAATTCATTGCGAATTGGAAAAATGTTCCCTTTTCTTTCTTAGACGTTTCGATAGGTATTTTATGCTGCACTTTTAAGAACATGCATTATTTACAAATCCACACTTTCTATTACTACAGGTCCACAATTTTAATTTACAACTCCACAAAGTGAGTCAGATCCACGCTTATTTTAGGCCCTGACAGTGCTGCTTGTTACCTAGCTTCAGAAGTAACTGACAACATGGTATTTCTCAAGACCACGGCGAAATTGTACCAGTTGTGTTCATCTGCTGTTCAATTTGTTTGCAAAAAAAATTATTTCAATAGGATTAGGGGGATTGCTTTAGTGAAATGTGCTTGAAAGAGTGCATTTTCCAGGGAACTAGAAGGATCAAAATTCGAAAATTTCCTGCTCCTTCGGCGGCAACCATAATGCCGCCTCGGGTAGTAACTATATCCTTTGCCCATTCCGATATAGGGATTTGGCAAGAGGTTTGTGACAGCAACTAAAGAATTCCAGGCAAAATTTTTTTAATCAGGTAAATTTGTAGTCCACACCCCCCAACAAGGCTTGCCTCGCGACGGCCCTGCCTAGGCCCCCTTGAATTTCAAGAGGACCCATAACTGTGAGAGAAGCAATGACTTCTGTCATTATATCATTCATGAGATGACATGCTGTTTTCCTAATTGCACAGAGGACAGTTTGGACAGTTGAGTTACACTGCAATGACTGGTCTACGATTAAGTTTCAGTGACCCAAAAGTCCTCAAAAATACCCCCTGTGCTATTTTAAGACCGGGATACTCGTGCCCAATTCAGAGAACACGATGTCAAAATAATTACCATGAGTTAGCTATACAGCCACAGAACTTGGTAAACCTATACAATTAGATTTGCTGAAAAAGGTTTAATTCGTCCCCTACCTCAAAATTACCCTTGTGCTAATTTCAGGCCGTGGTACTCGTGCCCAGTCCATAGAACACGATGTCAGATACCCCGAAGCCTTCCTCGTAGCTACGTAGCTACAAAAATTTGTAAACAATTTAATTTTACAGTAATGACCAACTTTGAGGCTCGCGTCCTTATAAAACTGTTCTTATATAAGAAAGGGTGTATTTAGGTTATTTAATGTTTGTGCGGACTGTGCCTGCTTACTCCGAGATTAGCAACCTTAATCGCCGAAGGATCTTTTTCACCGCAGATACGTGACAGAACAATCGACGAAGACCATCTTTGCTCAGAAAAATTCATTTCTAACCCCTTTTCTTATTTCTAACGTCATGCCACCCCATAGACTATCTTCAGATGCTAAAGACACCAAGTCAATGCGGGGACATGCAGAGCTTCTTTTAGAATCACCATTTTTAGCATCGGGGAAATGCTGATAATCTCTTTGGTTTTGCCCAACCAGTCAAGAATCCTTAAAGGCAATCTGTCTCGTTGTGGATTGGTTAACAAGAACAATAGCTGGAACAATAGCCTAAACACGATTCCAGCGCTCCGCCTAATTTTTACAATGTGATAAATTAAAGGGGGACTGGAAACAATAAAAAATCCCTTTGTTCTTATAAGCAATCAACGTCGTGACAGATTGCCTTTAACATGAAATTGGTTATTATTGCAAGTTTACAATATTTTGTGCTTTGCACTAGACAAAAAGTAACTGATTTTGAACGCAGAGAAAAGGGAATGTAAAAAAGATCTGCTTTCAGTCTTTGCATAACACTTAGAATTTAGAAATTGTATACTAGATCAAACAATATTCGTTGTATGCAATAAAATCTTAATTACACAAAACATATTTTGCACATAACACAGAATATTCAAACAATTTTCGCAGCGTTAAATGAAAAATACTATGGCGAAAACGAAAAGCAAGAATGACTAAAATGAAATTTGCGATAAATACTCTATTTTAGCTATCAGAATACATTTTGACGTAATCGATCATTAAGACGAGCAGCCCTCAGCATTGTTACTACACTCATCAATGACAGTACGATCATAACATAAAATGTGCTTTCCCAGCCATAGTGTTCCGCAATAAATCCAACTATTGGACCTTCCATTATGGTTCCCACGCTTCCAAACCCTGAAGAAATTAACAAAATTATTGCATGCAAATACGTCACAGTATGACCAATAGACAAAATAAATATTCTAAGCATCTATTCATCTGCATATAAAGTCACTGTTTATCAACACAAATCCATTTTATAATATCTTATCTCAAATATAACAAATGAGCAAACCAGTGGAAATAGCAAATACATTGTTTAAAATGAGGCTCGCAACCATTGCTATATTCGTATTGTGTACAAAAAACAAGGCTCGGACTTCCCCCTTTGTCTGATATGTAAAACAGCTGTATAACATGATAAACACCTTTCAAACTAAAGTGGGAAGAATAATAAATGTTCGGTCTCGGCGTTGTACCGATTTCTATTCTTTATGCATTTCACATTTTTGTATTCATCCATCGGATAATGCAAGGCATCCGAGGGGAGCTTAAGTGGGTCACGAATCTTGGATTATTCAACAAATTCATCAGGGCGTCAACTAGCATGCAGTACTCTTCAACCACGGTAATATAAAATCGAATTCTTACCGTTTATAAAGCCAGATACAGCGGATTGGGCATTTTCTCTTTCACCAAGTTCCGCTGCGATAGAACCGGACACAAACGCATCCGGACCACAATTACAAACACCCGCAATAAACATAAACGTGACGTTGAAGAGCCATCCCCATCTGCTGGTAACTTGGAACAGTACAAGTGCGATGGTGCTGCCAAAGAGTGCAATTACCACACCCCAATGTGTCTTTCCATGCCCAAGAAGCCTGCAAATAACTTTTACTGTATTTATCAAAGTAATCTAAGTATTAAACATAAAAAGGTTGTCAACTGCATATCAGGAGAACTTGGACAGATTTACAGGCCAAAACATCGCAGTCATTGCAAGAGCAACTGCAATCACGCATCCTATCAACAGATTACAATAACTTTCTGCTAAAATATCTAGCTACGTTTATAAAACATTAAATAAAAATAGGATGGTCTTTTCATTAAATCAATTTCGCAAAACAGATCAAAGCTGCAAAAAGTGTCGGCACCAGCCTGGGAAATAGATGCCCAGAACATTGCTAAGGGGGGGGGGGGCAGAAAATTATGCAAAAATAAAAATTATATCAGAAATATAAGCTCAATATACAATATACTTTACATATATATATTTTTTCACTTTCTTTCAAAGGGATGATGTAATGAAAATGATTTTATCCTTTTATGAAGTACAATGCTGTACGCTTTCTTATAAAGAAGGGATTGCGATGTAATCTCTTTACTGAGTGCTTAGCATGAAAAATCAGACAGAAAATTGTTCTCTCCTTCAATAGGTTTTCAAAAAAATATTTTCAGCAACGAAAGCAACAGCAGAAACTTTTCATTTAGAAAACTCATATAAAAAGTTGCGAGTGTGAACCATTTGGCAGCAAATAGCATGAGCATTACAGCGTAAAAATTCGATAAATAGAGAGTTAATACTGAATCTTTCTTGCTCTTGACAGAATGAAACTCAGGGCCATACAACATGGATGTGACTCGGCCAGGACTTACAAAACTATTCAACAGAGATATATGACGTCATGGACATTCTCTTTGATCAGAAAACAAGCGGAGAGGCTAAGGGTCTCTACAAATGTTGTAACTAGGATTGGAATAGAGGTTGAGTATATAGACTAAACGTGATAGCAAATAACCAGGGTAACAGAGTATCCATTATTTAGTCTCAGAAATATATTTAGAAACAAGTCCTGGAAACAATTTTTGCCACCGCAGCTGTCTACAATACTTTATCCCCGGATTTATGAGGCTCTGGTACCCAGGGTAGATAGCATGCAGTCAGGGCCGCCGAGAGGGTGGGGGGGGGGGCAAGGGCAATTTGCATCAGGGCCTCGAGGTCGAGAGGGCCTCATTAAGTAATGAATCCCGTTTTAAATGGAATTCATTAAAAATAACAGACTTATGCCCTGAAATAGTAAAACATTTTAGATGCATAGAATGTATCTAAAATGTATCCAACATTAGGTAGGGCAATTCAAAAGAGAGGTAATTACAGCGCAGATCCCTATTAGCAGGCAAAGAGTATGTTGAGGTGCTTCAAAGTTCAATTGAAATAATTCACCTATCCATTAGGAAACCGAGTGACGCAGAACCAGCAACACCACCAATTTCAAATGCTGTACTTAGTGCTCCGGCCATGACCTTTGAATAGCCAAGCTGGAAAAAGAAAACGCAAAAACTCAAACGGGGATACAAAAATAGATGAGAGTGACCAAGCAATCAAAACCAAGAAAACCATGAATATCTTAAAATATCTAGTTTTAAGCTCCATCTGGCACCACAAAACATATCCACATGCAATAGGAAAATATTTTGAAAAGTGTACTTTACACAGGAAAAATTTGATGAATTTTATTTGTCTCAAAATCAAATTATTTCTATAGAATTTCAAATAAGTAAAGCTTTTAATATAAAGACTTTGTAGCAGTGGCAACATTTGGACATTTTGCAAAAAAACTCGCGCAACAGGCGACATATAGTGAACGTCGATAAATGAGGGGGGGGGGGGGGGGGAGATTTCGTCCGCTGAAGATTTTTACAAGGCAACGCTCCTTAACCCCCTTTTTCCATAATTCACTGTTAATCAGTGATTGAATTATTTCATCATTTTGTTGGAAATTTAAAATATTCATTTTTATCCTTAAAGCCTCATGCTTTATCAAACAAACTTGGACTGCTACACTAACGAATCCTGTTCCAACATTTGTAAATACAAATTTTACACACTCTGACCCGTAGATGGCACCCTCAGATGGAAAAAAGTCCTCGTTTTTGGGATGGAATTTTTTAAAGAGGATTCGCAACATTGCTCAAAAATACATTTTACTGTATCACAGCTTATTGTTATTTGTTCTTAACTTTTGACCAAATTCCATGCTCGTGTTATAATAAAATTGTTTTTATAATAAAGAGTGGGATTGCTGAATACTTACATTTTGAAACAGGTAGAACGGAAGCCACATGTACAGACAATATCGTACAAGTTTCATAAGGAAGGTTGTCCACGCCAATTCGGGTAACATTCTAAAAATAAAAACAGGTTTCGGAAACATCTTCACAAAAGAAAGGTAAATCTATTCAGGTTTGACTCCTTTTTATAGCTACAAAAATTAATATCAAAAATTAGCTTACCACCTGATGTTAAGAGACGAGTTTTGAAAAATATTAAAATGCACCTTGCTCTGGTTGGGTTGTGGCTAGTAGAACAGTGTCAATCTGTTAGAAAAACTCCTTGTTTCAGCCCCCCAAAATAGGTCCCTACTTCTGCCCCACCTACACCTTCTCCGCCTACTGCAGCCCAATCTACGAGTCCAATCAAAATCAGCGAACTACATCCCCGGCCTAATCTACCCCAAACTCCCCTCATATTCTAACTACCCCTACCCTCATGCTTCACCCTGACTCACCTACCCCTACTCTGGACACCCTAATCTGGCCGTCACTGGCCTTCAATGGATGTGGTTATCCTACATATGATGTTTCGAGAAGAATACATGGATTGCCTTTTGAATGACTTGTTTTGAAACAAACTCCAACATTTGAAAACACCATTTGACACAAACGTTTTTATCACTCACAGCCATAGTCGTCTTTTAGGTGATATTTCAATCACTCTTCTTTGGGGTAGTACATGGAAACCCCGGATGAAAGATCCTGTACTTTCCTGCAACAGGCTGAAATGGCTCCTATACTTTAACATAGCAATTCTTAAAATGAAGGTGTTAATTGGTTAACAATTATCCTGGAGGTTTTTAATCTGTAGTTTCCTTTATGCAAGTTCAAATTGTATTGTCTTCACCCACTTCTCCTCATAATTGGGAGCATGGTTACATAACGTGATTACAACAATTGGTAATATACTAACAGAACACACTACATACTTAACTTTCCATAATTGAAAGAATGTCAGCTGCTTATCAGAAAGAACTTTCTTCCCGATCACAGTCTTCTGCAAATCTAAAAAATTAGTTTAAAAATTAGTAGGCTTAGGAGAAAAATTAGAACCTCGTTACATTTGAGAAGTCTGCCTTTAAGAGAAGCAATGTGAACTATCCAACTGATTCCAGCAATACCAGTCTGGACTAATACTACAAAATAACCAGGCAATTATCACAAATACAGCAGGCCATTAACATAAAAATAGGAGGCGTTTATAATAAAAACAAGAGCCAATATTCCAAAACAGCAGTCCTTTATTACTGAATCATTATTACAAAAGCAGAATACCACTTTTCAAAACCCAAGATGAGACTGTTTTTAAACGCGCTGTAAAATACGATTTTTGCGCTTTTGAGTCTAACTAGAAACCATGCACGACCAGTGACGCGGTCCAAAGGGTTCATTCATGGCTTTATTTCCTTGTCATTTCTTCGGAGTTAAAACCTTGATTAAATGAAACTGAATCAGATTTTATATGTGACAGGTTTGCCGCTAGAGACCACTAATATATGTTCGGCAACAACAGCATTGTGAAGTTTGTGCACATTGTAGCAATACTCAAGTGTGCAAATCTTTTTAAAGCCTCTAGCAACAAGCGTGCAAGAAAGATATCTAGCTCACGAGATTCATTTGATACCAGGCTGTTTGAGTAAACAATCGTTTTTTTCGACATTTAAAAACCTCTGACACGGGACACGAGTGATAAAATTTGAATTTGATATAAAAAAGTTTGCATACCAAAAATTAAATTACAAATGCTAGACAGAAACTGCCTCACCTTTGCCAGGAATTTCCATGTCTAACTCTTCTGGCATGTACAAGAACAGATACACAATTATGCCAACTGCAAACTAAAAAGAAAGAGTTAAATAATTAGAAATAAATTAAGATATCATTAGTAATATTTGCCGATGAATGCGCAGATGAAGTTAATTTAATCCCATCTGTACGATGGTTAAGCTATTTTAGCAACCAAAATTGTTGCAATTTAAAATAGCTTTACTAAACAACAGAAAACTGGGGGAACTTTCGCTTGCTTCATAATGAAAAATCATTACAATAATGTCATGTTACAAGTGGGAAAATGAAATTTCGAATGTAGTGATTATTCGATTCGTATAGAGTAAACGGCAGAGAATGGAACTTGAAGAGGAGTTGGACAGAGAATAATCTGAGTGATCCAGCTATAACTGTTTGATGAAGTAGCAAAAAGTTAAAATGGAGCACCTATCCTCTGCATCATGCGCTGTAAAATTTCAATTAACATATCTTCTAGTACTGATAACGCAGAACATCCACATTAATGGAAAACGCACGATAAACGTGACAGTTTTAGGAGGCGTCCATTCTCTGAGGTTCAGTCGACTTTACGGAGAAATTTCTAAGGAGAAAACAAAGGCTTTGATATTAGGGAGAAATTTCGGAAATTCTTTGACGGTGATTCTGAGATGTCAGCTATAACAAAATATCCGTTGCCTGACGCTAGATTTTTAAGAATAAATTCTTACCACAATGATCGATGGGACCAGAAAAACCAACCGCAGATCAGGAGCAAACCTAGACTGGAGTTGAACCTAAAATAAGAATATTCATCCTCGATTAAAAAAGCTTGAGAATATCCCAGTAGAGCAACGCAATGAGCTGTTAGAACCCACAGGCAGTGGCGGACTTTTTTTTGGGGGGGGGGGGGGCGACGGCCCCCAATACTTTAGAGAACAATGGTCCTTTGTTCTAAAACAATGGGAAATGTGACGTCATCTTATTAAAACAATAGGCTTGCCCCCTAATAGTTGACCAAGTGTCCGCCCCTGCTCACAGGGCAGGTACCTGGAAAAATAGCTATTTGATACTAGCAATGGCTGCCAAGGCATCTTATCGTTCAGAGAAAGGACATTGCAAAAGGACAACAAGACAATTTCGAAAGATTAATGGTATGACAACATATTGTTTCTAAAATCATTGCAAATTTCTTTTAGCATTAGCATCAGTATTCCTGGTCGAATTTAGCCACCCCCTCTCCCCATGGAAACAATGTTGGTCGGCTATAAAATGATATAGGAGATGAGTAAAAATATTTTTCAGGTAAAATGTATAGATTTTCCACAAACAATCAACCTTTTTACTGGGAAGGGGGAGGGGAAGCAGAAAGATAGAAATGAACGAAAATAAAACAAGCAGTTAGGTATTCCAAGTAATTTTGGCAAGCAATGTATTGTTGCTTCTAAGACATGCAGGTGCCTGGGCATGAATCTTACTTCAAACAACTGGAACCCAAAGTTAACCCCTCATCAAATTCAACTAAATTTCTGGTTGAAAGCTTGTAATATCTGCTTACCGCAAGAGCTGTACCCATAAGCCCTCCAGCAAAGGTGCAGGTTCCCCATATTCCGAATATGGTTGCTTTCTGCTCGTCAGTGTACCAAGATGATATTGCCCGCACACAGTTAGGCCAACATGTTGCCTGAAACAAATTTTAACATTTGTTATATATTGAAAAGTGTGCCAATAGGTGCTAAATATTGTGTCTTAAGACGTCGCTCTGGTTGCACAACTTGGCGAAAGCGAATCAACAAATCAGCGAATCGGCGAATGCGACCATTTATCCAGTAGATCAATTGAGTTGAACTACTCAGCAAATGATTGCGCATTTGGAGCGAATTAAGAAGGTCAGCTTGTACATGGTCCAATGTCCATTCACTCAGTAGAGCAACCAGAGCGAATCACGTGGAAACCTGCCTTTAAAACAACAAAGAGGAACAGCTATGATTTATAGCCAGAATTATGCAAGCCTTTCCTACAGCTATGCAAGAAGGTTTGCAAATTTATGCAATTCTATCTTACAGCTTCATTAACACCTTCCATTCAATACGAGATTCAGAGCCCCAGGAAATGCTGCCTTTTTATATCTGCACCATTCTACACAACTGTAGTCTACATCAAATGTAAGGGAGAGATGTCTGGTGATCCCATTAAGTGAAACTCATAGTAGCAACTTAGAGTCATCCTGTTATATGCATCAAAATTGTAACTGTAAACTAAAACAAAAAGTTTCATCAAAAGCATAAACCAGTGATAAAACATAAAATTGCTCATACCTGTGCAGCTCCGTTAGCAAAAAGCAAAAATGCCATCACATAAAGGCTTCTCCAAAATCCAAATGTCACCTGATATGAAAGTAAAAAAGTGGTCATTGGTTTTTTGGTACTGAATGCAGATGGAGGGAAGACATGATAACTATTGTATGGAGATCCTTGGCAAGGAGGGAGGAAGATATTATCTTAGAAAATATGATTTAATTGATTAAGATATGTTATTGGAAGTATAGGAAGAGGTCAAGAAAGCCTAAGATTCACAAGTTTTAATAGTTGAATCACTATGTTCAGAGTAGAACTAGGATAAATGAACTTATACTAGCAATATAATGCTCACAGATTATATATTTTCAAAACAAATTTTTTCATATCCAACCTGAATCGATTGATTTGAAAAAATTAATTATTCAACAAGGAAATCTGTAGACAGAGCTATCCAAAATTCCAAACACATACCATGGACAAAGCGGACATTACTAGATTTGCAGCTAAGATTTTTCTAGCACCATACTTATCACCAAGATTTCCAAGAAGCATCTAAAATCAGAAAACTAAGAGTTAACATAAACTTCAAAGTTTCAATTCACAATTTATTCAAATCAAAATCAAATATCTATTTTGCACAGCTGGCTTTGATTGTACAAAAGAGGTTCAACCTGTTTAGTGCATGATTCATACAATATTACATCTTTGACTGAGTTTAACACAATTGATAGAAATACTCAACATTCAATTAATACTCAGAAAATCGTTTTAGTACTATCCTATGTAAAAAGATACAAAATGTAAATGTTTCTAACTAACCTGCATTATTGCATATGGAAATAGAAGAGCTGTGTCCAACCATCCTAAATCTGTTTTGCTTAAGCTATGGGATGATGTTAGGTCAGACTTGATCTAAAAAGAAAACAAATACTGTCAACAAAATATTTGTGTGCTGAAGTATTCAAAATGAAAACTATTATTAAGATTTTGCAACACAACTATTTATTAATTGGCTGCTACAAAGTACAGCTGAACACATCAATAATTATCTTCCATATCAGGGTATAATATTTCTCATAAGCTGTCACCAACAATCATATTGTAGTGATTCCATTCATTCTAATTTTTCCTCACCTATCGCCATCCATTTTTACTTTGTTTATTTTACCTACAGTAATTTCTTCACATCACTACCTCATCACTATACTCTACGAGCATATCACTATGTCAACATTTCCTCTCTTTTGTTTAGGCCCTCATTAACCCTACACATCTACCTAAATCTCAATTCATAAACTATTCACACTTAGCCTAGCCCTTCCTATCCTTTGTTTTCCTTACATCATTAGTGTTAATTTTAGATATTCATTTCTGTATATAAGCATGTTAATTTTTATGTTAGTCAGTTCAGTTCAGAGTTCAGTTACAATCAAGCAAACACTGTCTCTCTCTCTGGCTCCGTGTTCTCTGCATGTAAAAATAAGATGTGACGCAAGTTGGAAATGACACGATAGTCAAGGATGGTTTTATTAGTGAACGAATGGCACATAACAAGGCTCAATTCTCGTTACACTAAAATATCAATAAATCATATCAAAATGACTTGCCAACAACATAGTTGTTCAATAGTCTACCTGGAGGCTGGATGATCATTTTGTTCCTTTCTTCCACTAATGAAATGTAATGTATTCATTTGTAATGTAATGTTTTCATTTATATTTTCTATTAATATTTATATATATCAATATTTTTTGTTGTTTTAAATAATAGTTTTTCTTTTATGGGGGGGGGGGGGGGCTCTCTCTCGATTAGTTTATCTATTTAGAGAGCTCCTCCTTAATCAGTCTATTTTATATACAGTCTCATATTTATCTATTTTTTGTTTGATGTCATAAATTTGTTATCATTGTAGTTGTATTTAGTTATATTGTAATATGTATTAGATTGTATGTAAAATATATTGATGAAAATGAAAAATGAAAATGAAAAAAAAATAATGTATGCACATGTTATATCAACCCAATGCCTAAGTTTTATCAACCAAAGAACCTGTACATTCATTTGTATCTTAAAAACTAAGCTAAAAATTTTGTTAAGATTGACATGGTTTATCTTTAAGCATTTGCCAAAATAAATGTCTGGTAATATCAAGATCAATGTGGCATGCCTGGATCACACAAGGGCCAAAAAGAGGAATTATATGATTTTTTTAAAGGAAGTGAAGATTCTGCAAGATTAAAAAAAAGTTCAAACCAAAACAGTAAAATGTCAAAACTATCCAATGAAATCCTATTATTCAACAATGTTCAGAGCACCAATAGTTGAATAGGATAGAGTTACAGAATTGAATCATTTATTATCACACTGCTCACAGTGCTACACATCATCAGAGCACTGGTCAGGCTGACTATACCAATAAACATTCAGAAATCGTAATCGCCAAGAAAATGCAACAAACTTTTCTGTCGGCTCTCATACTTTTCTTTGTATGCTAGAGTGTGGATGTTTACACACCCCTTACAAAAGTATTGCACCACCTTGTTCAAAACATTTTTTTGGTCAACTTTTCAACCATTACAAACATTTGACTGCATGAATTGGGTGAAATTGGTGTATTTTGTAGCAAATTTTGGCAGGAAATTCTTGAAAATATTGCTGATGCCATAAAAAACTTCAATTGAAATGTATATATACAGGCTTTTGTCGGAAAGGCGTGCGATCTGCTTTTGAGGAGTACAAAACATCGCACGCCTTCTTTTATTTTGAGAGCAAAATTCTCTATCAATGATTGGTTTTGTTGTTTTTTGAGACGGGTTTAAATGTAAAAATGTAATCTTTCTTTGTTACTTCATGCCATTTCAAAAAGGCTCAACACCTTGTCAGGATTGCAGATTAAATATAAGGCTTTGGAATAATCATAGGAATAAAACGGTTTCCTGAGTAAAAGGAAACCATTCTTATAACGATTTACTTCCAAACTAGAAGAATTCAAGTTTTTCCATGGTGTCAATCAAGTTAAGATTAGCGGCTCCAGTCAAAATATCACAACTTGAAACTGTTAAAAGAAGTTTTTTACTGTTATTTTTTAAAAAAGTGCTCTAAAAAGATTGAAATTTTGATTTGTGGTTGTTTCACTTCTTACCCACTTCTATTCACCACTTAAAAACACAATCAATTTGCACAGCAATAACTTTCGATAATTATTGTGCCATTTCACTTTCTTCAAGGTGATGCAATACTTTTGTGAGGGGAGTGTATGTAGGATACTGGGCAGAGCCTTGTGTTGATTAGTTTCTTGGTTCACAGATAACATCAGGGAGTGAAGCAAGGAGCCCACAGCCTCATGCCAGATAATACCCACATAGCCTTCTTGCAAATCATATTAAGACATCAGGAAAAATATTTGGAAAGGGCATTATAATATTGGGGCATTACAATATTAGGCTCTGTTGGTTCACCTAATTTTCAAATTTCAAAAAGAATTATGGTTGTTGAGATTTAGGGATAGTTATGACGCAAAAAGATACACATCAAAGCATTGATCAAAGTGACATCTGCTTTGCTTTTCTTTCTGCTGCAGACAGCATTGGACTAAGTAATTTTCTTAAGCAATAGTTTATAGTAGCTGAAATTTGCCTGACTATAGAAATTCAAGTTGTGTTTTAGGCTGAAAAAATCTGATGATAGATAAAATTCATTTTCATTTAAAAATACATTATAAGCCTAGCCTGCAAGCAAAGATGCATCAAAATTCTGTTGGTCCAACCTTCAAATTGTTTTTTAAAAAAGACTCTTCTTGCTAATATAGCCAATTTTTTTAATATATATCACCAAAGACTAGACTGCATACTTTCTTTGTCCATATCAGTACATATTGGGGATATGTACTCATGTTTGCAAACTTGACAATAACTGTCATCAAAAATAATGATATGATGATCAAATCATTATTAATGCCATCAAAAAGGCTCGCTGTTAGATACTTACGACACCTAGGGGCTTCCTGAGTAAATATGTTGATGCGTAGGCAATCCATGAAACTGCAAATGTTAAAAGTTGACGATTCCGTATTGGGTTGGACATTTTGTCTTCCTGGCAAATTTGTAAATCCACCGCCACGTCCGAAATTGAATTGGATTTGATGGGGACAGGGAAAAAAGGGATCAAAAATCCTTCTTCAGGTTCTTGCATAGTTCTTGCGACGCGTTTGAAGAGAAACGGGGGTAGACAAATCAGTACGAAGGCAAAATAAACAGGACTCCATTGCTTGGCAACGGAAAATTTACGAGATTCCGTTTTTAAGCCTTGTTATCATTCCTACCAATAAGGAAATAAAATGGGAAAGTGGTGTGGTGTAGAACTCTTGTATCGGAACTCAATTCGTTTTGTAGAAAACAAAGCAAAGAGGAAGTATGTATATCTGTTTTAGAGATGGGCAGTATAACTGAATCTTATAATAAGATAATTCCCCTTCTCAATAACTATATATCGTGATAAGATGATATTTTGGCTGAATAATAGTATCTTGCAATAAGATACTTATTTTCGAATAATGCTTCAAAGATACAAAATATTCAAAGACACAATACTTCTGTCAATTTTTATAGATAATGCACGCTTTCAGTGAAGTGAAATCTCAAGATCGGTGGCAGTCTTTGCACTATGGTCTTTGTGGTATGATATTTGGGGTAGAGAAATTAGCCGAGCGTTTCTTTTGCTTTGCTTCAATGAGTGAAGGGAAAATGTGCTACACTGCCGCTACCTTCATTTTTGCAAGGACCTCGCAATAAGAAACAAGTATCGGGCAATCGGTAAAATTAAGACAATTAAATTTGTTGATACAAGGCATTTAAGAAACAATAAAATTTTGAAAAAGGCAAGAACTCGGATATTTCGTGAAAACCTTTTGATAAGACTGACTGGTTGGCATAAAAATTTAAACACAGAGAGTGAAAATAAACTTTCTCTAAGTACAGCATAGGAACTGTGGTGGCGCCAGTGGAGGGCTAGGGGGCTACAGCCCCTCCGTCGGAAGCATCTAGCCCCCCATCGGAGGAAATTTTAGGTTATTTTCGGAGCAAATTTGACAAAATAACTTACGATAACTGCATATTTTAATCATTTTAGCCCCCCTCTCTGTTGGAAGCTCCAACCCCTCTGTAGGGAAGATTTCTGGCGCAACCACTGCATAGATCAGAAGCGAAGGGCTGGGCCCCACTTGTTAATGCTTGAAATTGGTAAATTTCTACTTTTACTATTGTTTTTCGCAATATTTTGTGCTGGAGCCCCCCTTGTTGTTTTGATAGCACTTCATCACTAAGGGTCACGTTTCTTCACCCAAAGGAAAATTCAGCGTTGTAAAAAGATATTTTTTCTTAGAGTATTTCTGATCTGTTTCATCTAATCATCTTATATAAAAAATTAAAAACTATTTATGATGAGCATTTGTCACTTGCAAGGTAAAAAAACCAAGAGAAACGGCAATATGGCAGTATTCAAGTATTCAACCCGCCAAGTATCTAATTTCGAAGATGATCGAATAAAATCTTTGGTAAAATTCAAATGAAAAACGAAGAAAAACTAAAAGGAAAAACGAAAAAAAATTTAAAGGAAAAATCAGATTTTTAAGAAATGAAATTATTAATTGACATCACGTCAGAGTTCTCAACTTTTTATTGTTATAGGATAATTAGCATATCCTTGTTACATCATCTCAGCATAGTCTTGTCATGTTATACCCCCGTCATGCTGCTAAAGTTGTAAACAACTTATGAATGAATTACGTAATTATGGCGAGATTGACTTTGGTTGCGCAAGAATAAACTACCTCTCGGTCTAGTTTGTCGAAATAAGGAACGATATTGCAACATCAGGAGTTCGAGTATTGATGTTTTAAAATCAAGGATTTCGCTTTGTCATGGAAGATTCAAGCAGGCCTTCGTTTGTCTCGAGTAGTTCTATTGAGCACAAAGTCTTCAACTCAAAAGATGCCGAGGATAGGGAAGGCCAACAAGCTACTTTGGCAGATTTGTTGAGCCGATCAGAGTCTTCATCACCCGAGCCTATGCCAAAAAAACAAATGGTATCAGTTGAATCAACCGATAAAGGAAGTGATGATTATTTGAAGAAACGTGCTAGGAATAATCTTGCCGTAAGAAAGAGCAGGGATCGTTCGAAGAAGAGAATAATGGAGACCCAAGAAAGAGTGGAACAGCTCACTCGCGAGAACGATGAGTTGAACCAGAAGGTTACTCTACTTTCAAAGGAACTAAGCGTGCTGAGGGCACTGTTTACAAACGGTGGATTCACTGTACCTTGTAATCTTCAAATTGTTGCACAGAATCCAAGTGTTATGCCTGATTCGGGGCGAGAAGACAGCGTAACGAAATCATACTCGCAGACTAAAGTCGCCTCGCCATCATCAAACAGCAACAATCATACGTCAGTTATAAGAACAGCAAGCGCAAACTCGCGGCCTTGTCATGGGGTTATATTGGTATCAGAGCCTGGTAAAATGAATTTAGATATCCAGGCCGGTATAAATTTCAAGTCTGAACGGCAGTAAAACTTGAATCAATGATGAGTTAATTTGGGAAAGTAGTTCGTGCGTGGTCCGTACACGGCTTCAAGGAGATTCAATAACAACACATGTACAGTGGTGAAGGAGCGGAAGGTGACGGGCTCCAAATATCTTTGCAGTAGTGAACTGACGGAATTTTGTAGCACATATACATTTACATATAGCTACGTGGTTTTGATTTAATCAGTTAATGTGATTGGGCAAAGTTGACATGGTCTAACAGATGACAATTAGTCTATAAATATATTATGTATATGAACACTGTATTTCATGGCAATGTTGGCCTAGTACATGGATGGTTTTCTTGGATGGTGGAAATTGTTGTGGAAGAAAGTTCATTTGAAAGGGTTCCTGCAGTCTTTTGAAAAGGGCAAAGTGTTTATCATTTATCTTTGAAACATGTTTATTTTAATAAACAATTTTATCCAACGATGAATTTCAATTTATCTAATCTAGTCATCAATTCTATGCTTTCTAGAAAAACCTGAAAATTGTAGAAATTACATGTATTTATGACCTGCAGAAGAACTCAGCCGTTTTTGTTCATTTCCTCTGAGCTTGCTATAAAAAGAATTGTGGAACTTCCCCCCAATTTAGTGGAGACAGCCCTTCCCCTCCACTAAAAACGAACAAAATCTCAGGAATAGTTAAAGAGTTTTCATAACACCATTTAAAGATTTTTATCAAAAACGGGTGTAATATGTATTAAACATAAAGTTGTAACTTGTTAATTTTTAATGTCATTGATAATATTAATGGAATTTTATTATAGCAAGCAACTTTTCATTCATATTATCTCTATTGCCCCTAAATAGTCATCAGAAATTGGCAAATCAATTCACAAAAACAAATCTGTATTAACTCATCTCAACTCTCCCCAACCACTGAAATTTTTCTTACAAGTTGCTGATTTTATCTTCACACCTTTCATAAAAAATCTCAATAAATCAAACAATACAAGACATGGAATGCAGTGAAACATTTTAAACAGATACTTTTTTGATAAAACCAATTTTATCTTTGAATGAAACTAAACAAATTCATGTACACTCTGTCATTATAAACAAGCAGCAAATGAGTTCAAAATTCTTGACTTCAACAAATTCATTCACTCATCTCCATCTGCAATGGCACTTTCAGCTGCATCTAGTTCTGCTATCCTTTGCAATGCCTCTTTCTTTACATCCTCCAAATATCTGTGTTAAAAGAAATTGTGAATCAAATAAGCATCAACAATAAATTTTCTTTGATACTACATTTTTTACTTGGCCATGTACAGTGTGACTATTACATTAAATATTGGTAACCAATCTTGTCTGGATACGCTACAAAATTATTTTGTTTTACATACATTTAAAAGTGCATACAAGGTTCATTCAACAGACATGATATCAAACCAAGTTAGTGTTCTTATGTTTCAATTTAAGAGCTTACAAGAAGCTTTCGTCAAACATGTTAATAATAACTGATGAGGCACCAAATTAATTCAAAATTATAGTAGTTCATTCATGACTTTTATATGCCCCAATGATTTTTTGTCTTTTCTTTCAGGAAGTGGTTTAAAATCTTATCATAAAGAAATAGACAAAATGATGAAATACACATACTCAGATTTTGGCTTGAACATAATAGTAATTGCCACTAAGAATATACTGACACCCCAGCCAAGGTACCAGACCGCCTCCCAATCTTCCCATTTTCGTTTTTCTCCAGGTTTCAAAGGCTGAAAAAGTTTGAAAATCAAAATGAAAGAAAGGTAACAAAGTTGTAAAAATTGTAAATTTGCAAAAAATACAATTCTGCTACTCCTAAAAGTTCAATTATTTATTTAAAAGCCCTTAAAGACAAAAAAATGAAAATAGAATTAATTTTCTTTAATGAAAAAAGTAAACAATATTCTTCTTAGATTAGTGACCAGAATCTTTTTCAAAAAGTCTTGCCTAAATGGAAATTTTACTCTAGATATCTCTTAGAGGAAGAGCAAGATTTTACACATCAAGGAAGTCAGTTTTTAATGCAATGCTGTAGCTATAAAGAAGATTTTTTATATGATGGACTATAATTGCAATCAATGAAATACCATATTCCCTCTTGTATTCCCACCTCTCCAATAATCCCTCAGGCAGGTTTGATTAAAGAAAGAAATCAATGGATTGCAAACGTGCTTGGAGTTTTGAATGATTTGTGGACATTCAACATGTTGTCTTGTCGTTTTTATGTAATGACAGAAAGGTTCAATAACGTTTTATTGATTCAGAGTCGTTTTTCAAACAACTTTCAGCAACATTCTTCCCAACCTACAAGCCTACATTTCAAAAGCAGGATGACAAATCAATTCCACTTTTAATTAAGGTTACGGTAAACGTTTTGAACACGAAAATTGGTTTTTTCTTCCTAAAGGCCAAACGGCTCAAGGAATCTGGATAAACTATATATCATTCGATGCACAAGATTATGGCGTATCTAGCCAGATAAAAAGTATTGGCAAATAATGTTAAATGTTATTTTCCATGCGAATTTACTGGTCAAAAAGTGTACCACCTTCAAAAGCTATTATGTACCCTTGCGTTTGAGGTAACAGAATCTGACTTAGACCAGCAGGAAGTGCAGGTCCTAAGCTACCAAAGTGTGTCTCAGATTTTTTAAATTCCTCCTCTTCTTGAAACTATGCCCTGTCAAAAATTGGCAAATAATTGTTCCACCCTCCCGCAGCTGTATTTGGGTATAAAAGACGGACCAGAGAAAATAAAAAAATTTTGAGACACACTTTGTTTGCCCAACGTCTGCCCTGGCCGTATGCAAATTTTCGAGCCATTCGATTGGTTCCTTGGGTACATAATAGCTTTTTCGTACCTGCATGTAGAGGAATTTCGAGTCCGGAGAAAACGGGATTTTACTGATCGCACTTGCAAGATACACTCGTAAACCACAGTGTAATCCGGGTCAAGTCACTTGAAGATTTAAGATCAATAAGCCTGTTTAAATAAACACGGCCGTACATTGGGTATATGGATGTGCCATGCGATATTGTAAATGAGACATGCGACTACAACCGCAAAGCAACGATAATCGGCTTAAAAGGTCAAGAGATTTTCAGGCCTCAACTAAAAGTTTTGATAAAGAAATTATGGAAACTTCGTTTACATGGGATTTTTTCCACTTTCAAAATTTCTGTTTGTTTCAAATTTGGTGTCATTGTGTGCCTTGAAAGTTCGGCTACTGGAATGTGAAAAAAACGAAAAAATGATGTTTTCATCCAGCAAACGTTTACCGTAACCTTAAGGAGGTTGAATCAAGAAACCCACAGTGGGAGTATAAGAGACAGAATATGTTGAGTTTGAAATGATGATTTGAAATGATTTACTGTAATGCTTTCAAGTAAAGAACTGGCAAAATACACAAAATTCTTTAGTGAGACTATGGTCTAACATCTTTAGTCACAGTCTCCATCATTAATCTGTACATTGTAAGAGAAAGAGAAAGGTTTCGAAAAAACAATTACTCAATTATATAGCTTTGAAACAAGAATAATGGAAACCAACTAGAAAAGATTGTTTTTTAGGGTCAGAATGCAAAAAGTGGACCATGCTGTCTATTATAAACTTCATAATTCTATGACTGATGAAGGGTGATACATAACACCTATGCCCAGTTCATGTGCCCAGTTCCAGGTCAACCAATAGCATCACAGTCATGAAAAATCATGACTCAGTGGATTTTGGCACATTAGGTATACCCAATCCATTTTATTATGACTAAATGCCTTTAATAATTTTTGTACTGATAATATATAATTTGTATGTTGACAATATAAAATGTGAAATTGAAACTGAACTGATTAAACCTATTTACAGACTTCAGATGATTAACAGCAAAGAATAATTCAAACTGAATCCTGTTGCATCTATTGGCCCAAAATTCATTTTTTAGTACAACATCATTTGAAAATTTATTGTAGGAATTCTGTTGAATAATGTAAATAACATGGAGTTTGATAATTAGGCCTGTTATTTCACATTTTTCCAATACTTATTTCTATATGATATTTTTAGTTCAACCTGTCTGCAATAATTTTAGAATCTAAAAAATCAAACTAAAAAGATGCTTTAAAGTAGATATAATTTACAAGTAGAGGTATTCTTCAAAAATAAGCTTTTTAGTCTAAGCTGGCGTTTGAAGGGGTCGATCAAATATATTTTCCTTGCCTATTTGTTAAGATGTACATATGTTACCGAATGCCATGAAAAGCATTACACAACATTTGTTACCCAGTAGGAATTAAATTTAACTAAAAGATTGGATTAAGGCTAACCCTAATGAGAGGCCCTCCCATGTTATTTGATTTGATTGCATAACCAATTCTATGCAGACCAAGAATCATAACAAATTCAAAAAAACCTAAAGGCAACACAAACTGTCTGTTGTAGAGAACAGTTTCAAGTTGTTAACTGAAGATGAAAGTCAGGCCTTGCTCTAAGCAAAAAAGATGCTCTTATAAAAACCAACTCCTAAGAAAATAGAGGTGCTCTATTTTGCACCTCTAAATAAAATTGCCTAGAGAGCAACTTAGGAGGAATGCAATATGTTGCTGAAAGAAGCAACAAAAGTAGAAATCAGCTCCTTCTGGCATTGATAATGGGAATTGAGTTCCCATATCACCACAAACCTGGACCCTGGGTATGACATCTTATGATATTGATTTATATAAAGTATCATGTGAACAGATCTCAGGTCATTTCTACAAATTTACATGGCATAAAAAATAACGTTTTTTCATTTGAAAATGTATTTTTTCATTCTACCAAAAATATTAGTGGTTTAGACTCTTGTAAAATTATTATAAATCATAATATCCTAGTCATTAGAAAAAATGGTTCAAGTTTGATAAACATTATTTTAAAACAATAATTTGTTTGTGGAAACACCATTTTACCCTTTCAGGCCATCATTAAATTGCTTTCCATGGCTTTTTGAAGGTGCTTTTAGGCACTCTTGTGTTTGAGAGACCATTCAAGAATGTCAAGCCTTTCAACCAAAAGGCCAAAACCAACTAACTAGCTACAAATTCTAACCCTATTTGTACGATTTTACAGATGTAAACAACTTCAAATTATCATACAAAATGCTATTGTCCATTACACTAGAGAATGCATCAATGTCCTCTAGAAGTCCGTTTTTACCTTCTAATAAAACAATTGGTATTCAATTAAGGTGTGAATGCCAAAAACATCTTTCGCTGATCTTACGAAAAACATCTTACATATTGAAAACAACTTAGCATAAACAACTAAGTTGTTCTTATACACTAAAGCCAAACTTAAGGAAAAACAAGTTTGTCCCAACAAACAAATTCAAAAATTAACGACAAATAATTTGCTCATGAACATGTTTAAAAAAAGGGGTCTTTTGGGTGAGGCCTGGAAAGTTGATTTTACCTTTGCTTCATGCAATATAATTTTAACAACCAATTTCATTACAAATATAAAAAAAATTAGCTGGAAAATAGCCAAAAATTTGTTTGAAATATGAGTTTGGTATTGATGAAAGTAATGATCTGCTCCATGCTACCACAAAGGAAAACTTGTAATTGAGAGGTTTGATTGAGGCCAACCAAAATGAAAGCTTTAAGGTTGTATGTAAAATGGTTGGGAAGAAGTTGCATTGAAGTTGCAACTGTTTCTTGAGTTTATCAATTGCTCACAATGCGCTCGACCTTGCCTTGGATCTAGTGCAACCTCAAAGAATGTGTGATAAAAGATAAAGATGAAATTGAATTCTTGGCTACTTGAGTGATGAACTTTTCTTTGCATATGTTCTCCACATTAACTGTTAAAACTCAAATCAAGCCCTTAAGGGTATTAATTTGGACATTTTTGGTAAGGGGCTTACCAAAGTGGGGGATTAACACCAGGGTAGGAAATAATAAAACTATGTGAAAGTCCCGATGAAAAGCTAGCATTTTTACATTTTACAAATTACCATTGACTATAGTAATGTATAATGTAAAGATCTCTTCAAAAGCCTTTTCTACAAATTCTATGCAAAATTTGATGTAACATATCTTTACCCCCATATTTGAATATTATTGTCCTGGCACTACCTATGCAGAAAAAAAAATTACAGTCTAAATTTGATATTAGAATTCTACAAAATGATTATCCTTCATTTCTCAGTGATGTTTTACATGTTTTATGCAAGGAGGTCATAACTTAAATTAGCAGAAACACTTAAAGTTCTACCAAGTTCCATTTGAGAATAACTCCAGGCCTTTCAGTTTGACACATTGATCACTTGTGATCATGTCAGCACTCACAAAAACACAACAATTAGATTATTTAATCGCTTACACAAAACAGTAAATTGGGAGGAATAAATGCAAGTGACATACACAATACAAAGCCGGTATGATATATCAAAACACAAGAAACATATAAAAGCTGATTTAACCACATCTCAACGGAAATATGTCACTGAATATCAAATCCACCATAAATGTGAAAGAACTGAATTTTTAATTTTCAGAATGTGTAAGGCACTTAGCATTTGAACTACACTACATTAGCCCTTGAAAAATTGTCTGGGCAGTTAAAGCATTTTTAAAAAGGTTTGGAACAACATTTTACAATCATCCAGCAATACATATCTAATATATGACCTTTGTTATATACATAAAATTTAGAAACGAAACTCATTTATGTTAGATTTGTGTTATCTTTATGTTATCATAAAACAGAATAAAGAAAACCTATTCAGAGGTCCAAAGGCTGCTTTTTGATAAAACGATTTAAGTTAAAATTGGCATTCTTACGGATTGGTTTTCCCAGGCTCCACAGTATGGACAAAGACACGAGCGGCAGGCCACACCACACATCACCATGATGAGAGCACCCAAGTAGAGGACAAAAAATATCTTACCTTCTCGTTGAATAGGAAGCCATTTGGAGGCTCTCTGTATTTTGTAAATATTCCATCATTTCTGCTTGAAGACACTATCGGCAAAACCCGTCTAGCTAAAGGTAATCTTACAGATGGTTGTCTAGCAAATTGAAGCACTAGTCTCGAGCATCCCCCGAAACCCGCCATCTTGATTAGGATGAAATCTTTGCCTCGTGATCAGCTAGAGGCTTAAATGGAAATAAGGTATTTGAAGAGATGGCTCATGTGAAATTTTCCCCAGGGGGATCACTTGAAATTTTTATATATCGGTGGAGGAGGGGGAGGAGGGGTCCATCTGATAATTATGGGCAATAATTTTCTTTGTGATCTGATACTTTTGGGCACCCGATTTAACAATAAACTTTTCGATACTTATGGGTCCAACCAACAAAAAACAATATCAAAAACATGAATAAAAGAACAGATTTGTTGAAACTTGATTATTATAGGATAAAGTCTAAATTACTGTGACTAGTGGTCTCTCATTAATCTAAATTAATCTCTCAACATCAAGATTTTGTAATTTGATATTTTTGGGTCTGATCAAAACTCCTTGGCTGATACTTTTGGGTCTGTAAATTTTTTTTCCAATACTTTTGGGTGCATTTTGATAATTGCGGATTTTCTCTATTGTTTGATTGGTTAGCAAGTCGGCATGATGTGCTTAGTGATTGGTTTCCTGGTTTCATGGCACTTATTTTGTGCAGGAAGGCAATGATCTAGTTGGTACTAACTCGCTTATTGTAATTATTTATAATTTAGCTAGAACATGTATTCCAACTTATTGTAAAAACAAATCACTGGTATTGAAAAAAACAAATCACTGATTACTCAGCAAAATATCAAAGGATTTGGTGCTAAACGTTTAGATAACGCCTGTCAAACTAGAAGGGTGCTGGATGATCGCCACTAATGAGAAACCCTGTCTGTGCCTTTTTCTTAAATTGATTTGTTTGACACGATTTAAACATCATATTCAGGGGCGTAGCGTGCAGGGGGTGTGGAGGAGTGTACACCCCCAACTTTCAGAGAACTCGTCGGTAGAATTAAATTTATAACAAAATATTAACGTAACAAAATAATTTCTGTCGGAAAAAAATATGGTTTTGCATCTCTTACACCCCCCTCCCCCTCAGCGAGAATGGTCACGCGACGCCACTGATCATATTCGCAACAAAGTTAGTTTAGTGGTATAATTAATTGACGAAATATTTGATCGTTCCTTCAATCTTATAAAGCAAATTTCAGCACGAAAGTAAGCGCTGGAAATTAGCAAAAGTGAGACTTCATATCATAGGGCTAAAGATTTCCCAGTGATCGGAGCTCGGGATAAATATGGAAACTCAGGTCTAAGGGCACTTCTTGAAGTGTTGTATTTTGGGTATAGAAAATCGTAAGTTTGGTTAAGGAGTCTTGGGGACCAATGGGTGCGCCATTACTCCTTCCTTACATTCAAAAGTAAAATAAGTGAATTTAATCTCTGTGCTTTGCCCGGAAAATGTTGACTACTTTACTGATTTGCAGTTGCGGTCTTCCCTGGGTGGAAAAGTGGCAATCGCCATCCGTACTCTGTTTCCTAAAACATCCACAAAAGTTCCACGACAAATTTAAAAAATCACTCAAATATTAAAAAACATCAATGCTGAATTTGACGGCTTTTTTAAGAAACTTCAACCAGGGGGGGGGGGGGGCATGACTATAAACTGCCCCTTTTACCTTTTCTGTAAAAGACAGCAAATAGACTTTGCTAGCCCGGCAATCCTGTCTATTTCTTTATAGAGTTCTTGTTAGATTTAATCGTCTTCTCTTCCAGATGTCTGCATTTCAGTAGCTCTACACCAAAGCTTTCTATACGAAATTAACAAACCTGTGTATCTAAACTACGCAGCTAGCCTGACTTTAGGTTTCAGATGTCTCTGTCCCTGTGGCTGCGTCTTCTCAATTTCTTAACGAGCCTAACACTTTTTAAACTTAACTGTAAGCTTAAAAAATGTAAACCATGTGAATTTTCAGATGGCATTTGAAGTGCAACCCATTCAGATGCTAGTACAGGGTGCAGCTAGGACGTTTAGATCCAAAGAAAGGGGTGAGGCAAGAATGCATGTCAGGCCAACGATTCTTGAACTTGAACCGTTTTAAGAATGGGATTAAACTGCATCAAAAATGGGTAAACAGGTAAAATGTGTATCTTTACAACAATACTGATATCTGTGTCATTTTTTTATGATATCGTAATTTTTGGTGACTTAGTTTGCCACTTGCAGTAGCATATAAATGCACTGGAAAGACTCGTAGAATAGAAAAATAGAGAAAGTAGAATAGCAATACCGGCTCACAAAATAAGGAAATTGTTTGTCTGCAAATTTTTTCAGTTTACAGAACTTTGTTAACAATATTCGCCAATAAATCTTCTCTAATAAATTTTTTCGTCACCTAATAAATTCTTGCTATCATTCATACAGCCTTCGAAAACTTTGCATATGTTTGTCAAAAACGATGTTTTACGTGGTTTGATCAGGCTCGCAGCATCATTTCAAATGAGTATTACACCTACGCCTATCTATCGTCTTGGTAATTACGCAAAATCAAAATTGCCTTTGATCAATAAGGTACACATTACTTTTTTGTATGAAAGACAACTATGGCGCTAGACTGGGTCACACAAAAAACTGAATTTGCAAAAACTGCATCAAAATTTTATCAGGTTATCAGTTATCTGGAAACCTGCTATCAACGTCAGCAGAAAGCATGCTTAAGGATGTTCCTTTAGTTGGTGTGGTCACACCCTACCACCCCTTCGATATTTTTTCCAGCTGTCACACACCAATGCTTCTTTTTTGATTTCCAAACTCACTTTAATAGCAAGTGTTTATAAAGCAATGCCAAGTTGTAGAAGTATGTTGCCTCTTTAAGTGAATAAAAACGAGTTTAAAACAAACTTACATCCCTCTCTCTCTACCCCCCCCCCCCCCCAAGCAAAAGAAGCAGCCAAATAATCTTTGCCAACTGTTGATTGCTTGTTATGAATTCTATCGTAATTCCAATAAAGCCTTTTCCACTTTTTGTTAGAGACATAATCAAGAAAGCACCAAAGATGCTTAATGGAAAAGCTATGAGGCACTTACTTAGAATTAACAGTTCATTGTTGTGGTTGTTGTGTTGTTTTATTGTGATTGACATGCAGTTGTAGTTAATAGTATCCTACTGTTTAGTTGAATTTAACATATTTAGAGACGAGGATTTTTAAGAGGTATTCAGGAAGCATTTTAAAGAGGATTTCAAGAAGGTTTTAATAGCGTTTAAGTAATCGTTCTAAATAGTTACGTATTCATTAAGTATTGTTATTAAGTATTGCTGAATTGATTTTGTATATATCTGATTGAAACAATGGCGTCTCCAATTGAATCCAGCCTACCATAGCTGACCCACAAATGAACTTAATAAAAACATAACATCATCGTATGCAATACTTGAGTTAGGTGATAGGTTAGGGCTAAATTGATCAGTTAACACCCATCAGGGCTCGCCAGCCCCCCCCCTCTGCACCCCGTGGAAAGAGGTCTTTATATCGAAAGAAAGCAGATTTCGTTAGATCAGAGTAAATATTATTGCCGGTAAGGTCATCACAACAATCTCTCGTAAAAATATTTAAGCATTGAACTTCCCCAATTATACTTTCCTTGCCTAAACATATACAAAGTGTTTTATACAAACTTTTACTGTCATGTTGTTTATAAAAAATTTCGCTGAACACAATGATGTAGCATTTTTACTTGCCTCTTGTGAAGGTGATGATAAAAAGGAGTGCAAGAATTTTATATAAGAAATAAACTTCGGTTTACTACTTATAGTAACGCCAACTTGTTGATTTTAGTACCATAAGTATATACAAATGGCTAAAAAGCCACTTTTTAGGAATAAAACAAATGAATTAGAACACTTAATCATTCGCAAGGAGCTTTTCTTTTCTATGTCTGCTAAAAATAAATAGGTGGCCAATCGTTGCCCTGGGTGCCAGAGCCTCGTAGACGGCTGCGGTCAATCCTCGCTCAAAAATATTTTCAAGACTAAGTAATGGAAACTCTGCTCTGGCACCCAGGTTTGCCGACCATTGAAAAGAATCATCTCTATCAGATCTTAGAAAGATAAATTTTCAAGCTCTTTCTTCAGGTTGAGGCTGATCAGTACTATGGTTTGTTAATTTTTGGTCATCTTTGGACTCGGTATCTTGCTGACGGTTTCCTACATAAAGAGCGTAAAGTAAGATGAATGACAATAGCGGTTTCTTTGAATAAGAAGGAAATTGTTAATGCTCAAGCAAGTGGAAAATCCTGGTCAAAACAAAACAAAAAATAAAGACTCTCAAACATAAACGTCATGCGAGCTTATCGTTAGCAGTTATGGCGAGAAAACCATCGAGAAGTACGCCAGTAGATGATAAAAAGGATTACCAACCTGAGAGAGTTCGAAGCACAGCGACTAGCAACAGAATTGGCCCAATTCCAGCCGATGAATGTAAAGTTAGGGGCAGGCGAGAGAGACCAGGTCAGCTGGCTGTGAAGAACAAAAAGGAAGACAGTTCGACGCCAAAAAACGCAGGAAGTTTTGCACTGTTGGAATACTTCTATAGGTTACATCACAATTCATTATATTTCATAGCTGGTCTAAGTTGTTTTACGAACCATCTAGCTGTTAATGTTGGCAATCATTTCATTACTTGTTTCTCATGAATGTTGGTTCCCTAGCCCCTCTTACAGGCACGCACCACGAATCGCCTGCGTTGCAGCACTATAAGAAGCAAGTTAAGATGGATATGATTTAAGGGTCTTCGGTTTGAAATCATTGCAATAAAGTATCCGTCAATTACCAATTCGCAATGTTTCAAATCTTCAATCCAGGACAATAATAATTGAGACTTTTCAAGGAAAGTTGATATTTTCACTTTCATTTGAAAAATAACCCCCCCCCTCTCCCCAAAATCAATGTTGAATGTATGTCTTTCAAAGGGAAATGATAAACCTATAAATCCAATATTGATTCGTGGGGAAGGGGGATTCGAATTTACAGGGGCAACTTAAAATAGAAAATTGCAATATTTGCCTTTTGTCTTAACAATTTATCCGGTATTGTTGTAAAATCCGTGAAAGCTTACCGGTTAATCCACAAAGTGCCTTGCCCTGAGAAGTGCAGGAAGGGGAAGATAAATACCTCTAAACGTACAAAATCATTGAAATCTGGAACAGGTTTCGGGAGATATGGCCAGTGAAAGATTTGTTAAAAGTTTGCTATCGGGTAACTGGTATTTTGATTTGGTTCATGTTTTAGAACCAGGGCCAAAACACAGCTTGATGGGGAACATGCCTGTACTCATGTAGCTATATCTCAGGTGAATTTTAACACATCTAAATGATTTTGTGCATTTAGAGGTATTTTCTGGTGTTCTTTCGGGTTTTATATGCAAAATACAAAAATTAACAAACTAGATTTTCGTGACGTCTGCCACTCTATTAGCCAAAATTTTCAAATCTTCATTTTTTTCAAATCACTGAGAAAACAAGGTATGATATGAGAATGATTACCAAAGATACATTGTTTACAAACTCGTTCCTTGCTTTCATCAGCAGTGCGACCAAAATAATTTCTATTATCTACCCCATTGGTGCTCAGGTAACCCCCTACGTTTCAAAGCAAACCTCCCACTTCCGATGTATCAAGCAAACGATGTGGTGCTATGCGCATGACAAGTAGGTTATTGGTCTTCTAATCAAGCTTCTTGATATCAAGGCTACTAGAGCTTTTAATAAGTGTCCCTTATAAGAAATTGTTAATAAGTGTACTTTAATTTCTAATAAACTATCCATTGACTCTTCCAATAAGGATCTCACTTTAAATGTTTGACAAGGTGTAAGATATTTTTCTCTGGTAGGCTTTCGACAGAGGATAACAAAGAACAGACCATCAATTTACTGTACATCAAAGCATTACTGACATCAGGAGCGGACATAAACATTTCTGATAGCTATGGACAGACAGTGCTACATGCTGCGGCAAGAGATTGGAACACAGACGTTGCTTGCTTTCTGTTAGACAATGGAGCGCTTGTAGATAAGCAAGATGCATACGGAAGGACGCCGTTGTTTATAGCAGCTGCTTTGGATAACCCACAGATGATTAGATTCCTAGTTGCAAATGGAGGTGATTTTTCTACATCTTATCAAAAAGTAACAATTAAATGAAGTATGTCACAATTGTCAACATCTTTACAAGAAAACTCTTCAATATTTCATAGGATTTATAATATATTAAACTCTTTAATAATGATTCACATAGAATTATACCAAGGGCATGTCATTTCACCAGTAAAAAGGCACGAGTCAAAAATAAAAGAATAAAAGAATAAATCAGTTGGGTTAACGTTTTTGAAATTGTTTATCAAAACATTAGTGGAAATTAGGCTTCTTTAGAAAAAATAACGTGTTCTAGCTAGCTTTTTAGACAGCTTGGGAAGATAGTATTTCCAACTGAAAGTCTTATCTAAATTTATCTAAATTTTTGACTCATGCTCTTCTATTGACCCACTTACAACATTAGAAATACATAAAAAATTATTTTCTGGAACATTTGATTGAGGGTATTTTTATGTCTTCAAATTTGGGGTTGGAAAGTTCAATTGGATTTTTGAGACAAATTTAGGGACAAAATAGAGAAAACTTTTAAGCATCATTATAAATTAAAACTTCTGACAAATATTTAGGGACAATTTATCGAGTGTTTAGGGACAAAACATAGGTAAAAACAGCTTATGGATAAATAAACGATTAACACGAAAAATTATGTGATAATTATTGAGACAGGTGAATGCTTAATTATAAGAGAGATTGCGTCAGTTAGGAACTTACTTCAAATTGTATTTGAATCAGGTGCACCTTATAAATAACGAAAAGCAAGTGAAATCACAAATGAAATCTCTTTCATTGAATAAAAGTTCATCAAATTAAAAAGTGTCTGAATGGTTATAAGACATGTTAGCATCTATTAAAATTAGAAATTGTGGGAAATGAACTGTGTGGATTAACATAATTCTAAAAATTATTTGTCAATCGACTATGATTGTAAAGGTATTGCCTATAGTTTTAAGTATCATGATCTAGATTATAATAAAACAATTATTTAAAATACTTTTTGTACTTCAGTTAACATTATTTGTCAATCGACTATGATTGTAAAGGTATTGCCTATAGTTTTAAGTATCATGATCAAGATTATGATGGGATAATTATTTAAAATACTTTTTGTACTTCAGACAAAGGTAAAACATGGAATAGTAACTGAAAATAGGCAGAAAAATAATTATTGATTCCTGTTGGGTTATTGATGCTTGGTTAAAATTTTGTTACAAAAAATGTTGTTTAAAAAGTCGCCAGTTGGAGAACAGGAATCAAAATTCAAAGATTTACGTTTTTTTTATTTTCCACTAAAAATTTACAAGACAAGTTACCTATTACGCTACCTACTAATTACTCAACAAACACTACAAGGACGTTGATACCACAGGGAGCAATGACCATGACAACCCCGTGACAAATTAACATAGAAAGAATAAAAACTACCAGGTGAATCAGGTGAATCAGATTTACGTTAAAATCACCCATAGTAAAGATTCTTTCATTTTGCATATTTGGAAAGAGTAGCAAAGCAAACAGCTGTTTTTATTTTTGAATTTTTATTTCGATCGATATTTTTTCATAGTTGATGCATTGAAAATTATGATCAACTCTCTTATAAGTGAAGCTTTTACAAGTAAACCAAGTAATCTCAATTTTGAACCGGTGAGCTGGTACCAAAAGATTGGCACCATGTCTTATCGTCTTAGATACTCCAATGACATAATAATAATAGTTTAAAACTAAGAAATAGCCTCATCGTGATTGGCGAAAGACTTTCTTTTAATAATAAAAATTCTGTATGAAAAATTTCAAAGGTCTCGGGCGGGAGTTAGTGACTGAGTAAGCAAGCTCGAATATTGAAAAATGGTGGGACTCGATGCCTCGAGTCAGGTGCTCATCGATGTAGTCATCTTCTAAGTTTGGTGTACTATTTAACTCAAAAATTGACCCAAAAGCTGGAAGTGCATTGGCGAACGAGGGCAAATCATTTAGGATTAAAAAAATGAAAACTTTATCGTTATGAAGCGCAGCTTATAAATTACCATAACCCGGAAATTCAAAATCTACTAGAATGGAATGGAATGGAATGGAATGGAATGGAATGAAAAGAAATAAAATGGAAGAGAACAGAAGAGAACAGAAGAGAACAGAAGAGAACAGAAGAGAACAGAAGAGAACAGAAGAGAACAGAAGAGAACAGAAGAGAACAGAAGAGAACAGAAGAGAACAGAAGAGAACAGAAGAGAACAGAAGAGAACAGAACAGAACAGAACAGAACAGAACAGAATAGAACAGAACAGACCAGAACAGAACAGAACAGAACAGAACAGAACAGAACAGAAAAGAACAGAATAGAGTGGAATATAATAAAATAGAGTGGAATAGAATAGACTTCTACCTTATCTATTCTATCTAATTCGTATCATATCTCTTGTAGCACACATTAACAAGAAAACGTACGGAGAAAAGCAAACTCCATTCCATTATGCTGTTCGAAGTAATGCAGTCAGATCGCTTAAAGAACTTGTGAAACTCGGAGCGGATGTATCAGCAGAAGACTCAAAAGGAAGATGTCCACTTTTTGTAGCTGCGGAAAATGGTGAGAATGTTAACTCAAACTGGTTTGAATGGTGAGAATAAAATGATATGGAACGAGGATAGCAATTAGAGTAATAGCAACGATCATTAAAAAATTCTTATAATGGTGTAGATGATAATTATAATACAGTGAGCGATGAAGTTGAGTACTAGAATGAAATAAATTTAGCATTGATGATTAAATATATAAAGTTTTAACTATCAATACTTAATTTATTTCATTCTGGTACTCAATTTATTCGCTCACGATATTATCGTTATTTGGAGGTACCACATGCAACGTACATGATTAAATAGATAATAAAGGCCTCAATACCTGTATAACCTTTATACTCAAATTAGCGTATCTGCTTAACTGTCCATAAAAAATGTTACACACTATTTATTCTAAGTAAGATAAATACAGAAAAAAGTACTCGGCTACTTAATAATCAGGCCCATAGACAGCTAAACTGGATTGGGGGGCGGGGGGGGCATGGATAGAAATATAGCTTTTTCTATATCTGCCTTACGAAATACTGTCTGATCAAGCTGCGCTTATAAGATCTTCAAACACAATTGTCGCAAATCATTGGGGGGCATTGCCCCCTCCCCCAGTGTCTACAGGCCTGATAATAGTGTTCTTATTTGTAGTTAAAGCTATTTATTGCTGATTTTTTGAATACCAAATGCTAAAGAGCTTCTGTTTAGAAAAATGAAAGGGTTACTAAAGATAATACACAACAGGTCAAGAAACGAGCTCTATTTTGTTTTATTTATGTCTATTGAACCCCAAGTAAGTACCTCTATCTCCTCTTTTATAAGGCACTTTTCAAGCAGTGACTTACGGTTAAGGTATACCACTACTACAGTTTCTCAATTCTTGGTCATTTCAGGGGTTTATATAGATGGAAGTTAAAAGATTCGTGTAATGTCCCAGAGAGATATTTCTTTGAATGTAAATGTTTGCAGGAGTTCCAGAAGTTGTTCAGTACCTCCTTGAAATCGGCTGCCCAGCGGCTGTTTTTAACAAAAGAGGATACTCCGCAATGACCTTGATGGTCGAGAAGATGCCCAACATAGCAATGGAGGCATTGTATCAATACGTGTCTGTTAACACAAAAGCAGAAAGTAAAACGTATTATCTGGCCCCGCTTGAGTGGAACCCAAATGATCCTGATGCTGATCGAGATTTGAAAACAACTTTGGAGGTACACACTTTTTTATAAAGACACCTATTTTTTGGCTTAGCCTCAATATTCTTAATTTTTTTTATTTTGAGCCTAAGTTTATTCTTAAATTATTCTTAAGCGAGGTGCAGCTAAGTCGCATTACAGTGTTGATTCCAAGGCCAAATACGTCTATTTCAAGACAAACAGCGTGAAACTCGCAAAAAAACTCAAATATACAAAAAGTTTAATTCATGATGCAGCTTGAGCCTTGCATTATTCTTGAATTATTCTTAAATTTTATCGATTTTGAGTTTTGATATTCTTATAAATTATTTTCCTAAAAAAAGGTATGTAGGCAATTTGTTCCTAGAAAGGATAAAATATATCAACAAAATTGCCTTTGAGTATGACAGTGTTAGATAAACAAATTCATAAAACATAAAACCTTATAGCTTACTGTAAAAATCTGGTCTTCAACAAAATTTATATTTGTTTTCATTTCCTCTGATATACTTGGCTCAGCTAACTGTCTAAACTCTAAACATTAAAGAAACTTATATAAAAAAGTGAAATTCTGCGCATTTTTGAATGGGCACATGTCCTGACAGCATTCCATTTCCACCGCCAAAGTATTTTACCAAATTTATTTTACAAAGTATTTTCGATCATAAGCCGCCCCTCGATTATAGCCGCCCCTCGATAAGCCGCAGCAGATTGGGTTAAACAAAAATTTAATCGCCCTTGATTATTGGCCGCAGCCATAAAAACATGCAGAAAAACTTGAAATGACGGACATAAAAACGTAAAAAGACCTGATTATGTACATAAACCACAAAGTAGACGACAGACGTTCAACTAACAACGTTATCTTCCAGCATGGGAACATCAATAGCGTCCAGAAGTATTTCTTCTTCATCTTTCTGTTACGTTATCTCTCTTGAAAGAATCTATAACGCTAGTCTTGCTAGTCAATGGTGCAAGTGATGCCCCCGCCTCAGTTGTTAGTAGGGTTTTCTAAGTAATCAAAGGAACCGGCCGGTTACCTAGAGGCTAGGGGACTCGTGCCATCCCAGGTAGTTTTTTAAAACAGAAAAGTATATTCATTATCGAAAGAGCGTTTTTCACCACTTACTTGCCAATTGAAGAGATGGAATTGTATCATCAATATTTGACTCTTTCATAATAATTATAATAATAATAATGTTAAAAATAAGACAAATATTTACAGAGGATGGCCTCAGTCACTCGAGGGTGCTTTTCATAAGGGTCCTCTTTACAACTAATTGTATCGATTTACTAACACATTACAAAATTGAAAAAGTTCATCATATTAAGAGTGGATAAAATCATCATAGAATCAGGAGTGGATAAATACTTTTAGAATCTTGACCCATCCCTGGGAAAATCTAAGATCAGCCCCTATTACTGTAATGATTTGATACAGATGCATATAACTGTATTTTTTGCTTCGTATAGGCTGTGCCAGATTTATAGGAATTTGAGCCCAGTCACATCAATGCCACTTTTTTTCGCAATCAAATTGGTACAAAAATGCACTGAACTTGAGCCTAACCATAAATCCAAGATTAAGGAAGAATTATTCTTCCCTATTTTATCTTGTGCTGCAGAAATAGACCATGGACAAATCAAGCAGTTGCTTTTCTTTATTGATGACATTTCTAAGGTTTTCATGCAAACCAACCCAATTGCAAATTTGTTGCATGATAGTGGGATTTGTAATTTTGGCTTAAGTTGAATTTTATATGACAAGTTTTAATTTTTTGTTAAAGTAAGTTTTCTTTTATTTGAAGATGATTGTCAAATACAAAGAAATGGACTTACTACAGCATCCAGTGATAGAGAGATTGCTACACTTGAAAACCAAGCTGTATGCCAGATCGTATCTGCTATTATACTTATTTCTCAATACGGTGTATGTCTTGCTATGGTGCACATTGAGTATTCTGATGTCAGCAACACACGAGCCTTTTCATTGGAGCAAAGACAATTTCTGGAAAGTTGCTTTAGCACTTCTTGTGCTTCTTCTAACGCTGGCAGCTGCAATTGAGGTGATTCTAAAGTTATTTGACTCCTGAACAGGCAATGCTCAATCACATTCCAGATGACATTGCGTAGATTTCTTGGGGCCTGTTAGCGATATCACCTTGTTGGTGAAAGTGGATGGGGGAGCCTCTGGAGAACGTTAAAGAAAAAGATCTCCCGAACAGCTAGTCAAGGTCACCCGTAATACTGAATGATGCGCGTGCATCATAGTTAATCTGGGGGGTAAGAGCTACAAGGGTAAGAGACATGGGGCTCAGGCGAAATTTATCGAATTTCAGGTCCATTCGGACAATTGCATCTCAGCGAAGCAACAATACTCTGGCAAAATCCATACTAAGCCTCCAAAACGTCATGCACCCGCTACGCCTATGTTAAGAGCGTACCTAAAGACGAAGCGGTGTGGCAAGGGAGGGGCATAAAATGTGCAGTGTTAATGTGGTTCCTGAGGCATTCTTCCCGGAAAAACAAAATTTCTAGGCCACTTTCTTTTGCTCTGGTAGCCTTTTATGGACCTTTAACAAGAAAATTTGATCGGCCAAAACATTTCCTACTATTCCCTATTAAATCGTCTTATCATTGCAGCTCCAGTTACCGAACTGTGTACACTACATTCATTCTTTATTAGCCTGCTCTTTATATAAAACTCGCTAAAGGAATCGAGTACTCGAAAACTAGTATAAATTCAGGGTCTGCACCACTGATCCGCAAATGGAGGGGCCAGCGATTTCAAGAGAGTTTCCTCTCCCTTCCCCTCAAGCCCCAATTGTGACAATCACTTTGCCGACGCTTTTTTACTTGTGTTTGACTTTGGTTCAATGTATTTGTTGTAATCTAAAGGTTTATCTTTGTAAATACTTTTCAGTCTTTTATTTAGCGAAAAAGTGGGGAAGCCTTGGCCCACTGGTGATATCTTTATCAAGAAGCTTATAAAATTATAAAATGGCTCTTATGAAAAAGAGTATACCACTACATTGTCTGGTTCCTACCATATTTAGAGGTTGTAAGCATCCTTTGAACTCACAACCATTAAAACTAGCCATTTAATTCTTTTTACAGCAAGTATTTTTGGGTAGAGCAGTCCAGAAATCCGAGAACAACTGGAAGTTGTACAGAATTGAAAGTCTGCAAGAAGACCTTCGTTACTGTCATCCACAATGGCCAAACGAACGGAAAGTTCTTGAAGCTCAAATCGAGCGATACTCCAACATGGTTGGTGACTATTATAAAAATTTCTGGACATATCTCGAGTGGATAATATTTGTAGCGGCAGTAAGCTGGAATATTTCCTCTGCAATGGACACATTCGGGACAGAATCAAAACATACGCACACAGCAATGCAGATCTTGATGATCATTGTATTGATGCTGAATTTTATAAAGTTTTTAAAGGCTTGCAGAATGTACAAATTGGCTGGACAATACATTGCCATCTGTGGTGAGCACTTTCTTCCAAAAGAGATCCGAGAAAATATAGATATATATTCAATATATCTATACATTAATTTCCCCACCTTAAAGGCTCCTGCGCAACCGGCATGCTTTGCGACAATATTTTCAAAACCGGCCTAATATCGTACTGCATGAAAATACAAAACACAATCAATTTCTCAAGACACCTGCCGCTAAGCATGCCGGTTGCGCAAAAGCCTTTGAACAAGACTATACAAAAGGGAAGATTTGGACGAAAATATAATTTCAAAAGTCACGCTAATTAAAGGACGATACAGGTTACAATTAACAATAAAATAAAACTTTTAAGATGCTCCGGGCACGAGTGTTTAACATTAGACAAGAGAAAGATGTGAGCTACCATCTTGGACCTTGACCTTTTTGATTTTCCATCTTATCATACAAAGATAATTTATTAAACACAAATGAAATATTCATCGCTAGGAAAATAATACATTGAGTAAAAGTAGTATTTTAGGTTTTTTTGAAAAATAACAAAATAATAACAATTTTAACTGAATTTTCATCCTGATGTTCAGGTGAACCGTTCAGGGTTTGCACACAGGGACAGATTTGAGCGGCAAGTGTTGGGCATTGATACATAATGATTGGATTTTGTGCCACACCCTTTAGGTGGCTGGAAACTGAATGAAACGCCCATTTCAAAAAAACATGTTTTCAACTTTAAGATAAGAATTTAAGTAAAGCAACTTTTCTGCATTATTTTTTATCACTGACTACTGAAAAAATGATTTTTGAATTGAAGCAAAATTTACCGAAGAGCACAGAAATATGGGGGGAGGGGGACGTCGCACCCCCACACCCCGGTAAATCTATTCCAGTTTGCACCAATACAATATTTACAATGTTGTTTACTTACAGGAAACGTCGTCTACGCCCTTGGTCAGTTTGCATTCCTTTTCTTTCTCTTCTTCATTCCATTCAACGTGGCATTCTGGATATTCTTTGGAGGAAAAGAAAATGGCAAAATAATTGGCGAGCGATACCAACATTTAGCAAAGGCATTTGAAAACTTGAATGATGTGGTGAGTTGATACAGGCATACAACACTGGGGGCGAAAAGAATAACTAAACAAAACGCTCTCATCAGAGTCAAGCAAAATTATTATAAGTTTGGTAACAAAATTAATTTGTGCTTTGGTTCAAGGTTGCAAAGAAGCTTGCTGGAAATGGAAAAACTTTTCACCTTTATGATGCAAACATCAATATGTTAAAGGTTTTTGCGCAACCGGCACGCTTTACAACTATAATTAAAAAAATCTACCTAATATCGTACTACAAGAAAATAGAAAACACAGCCGCTAAGCATGCCGGTTGCGCAAGAGCCTTTAATATATTGTTGTTCAATTTATGAAAGGTTTTCAAAAATTCTTTTCAATGTAGCGAGGAAGGTATAGCACCGTTTTAGGAAATTTGATGACTTGGCATCTGCTAACGATAAATACTGAAGTGGCTTATGTCATCTTTCAATCAACAATTGGCCAATCAGTGAGCATGATACCGCTCATACGCTCATTGATTGGCTGTAATTGATTAACGAGAGTTTAGGTAACTTAAGTCATCTGTCAATTGTCTTAAACTGTCTTAGAATGAAAAGCAAATTTTGTGATCATGTCTTGAACACACGACAGAAAGCGTTAAAAATTTATGTTAAATGCTTCCGTTTCATGATTTTTTAGTAGCTACTTAATAACTTATTCACTTATTTCGCTTTAGGAAATGTAACGTTTAATATATACTTCTATCATTAGTTCAACTATGATTAAAGTTTTTATTAGTTTCAATTTTAATGTAGACAATTACAGCTCGATTTTAATAACTGGTTAAGGGCCATCTCGGCCAAAGCACAATGTTTATGAAAAACATTTTTCTGTTCTAATTGCAGATATACAGCGTCTGGACTCTCACATTGGTTGTAGGATTTCCAATGAAGGCATTGGTTGTGATCGATGCCGTGATTGGGGAGCTTTATGTTTGCATATATTATCTTGTCATGTCTGTGGTGTTGCTGAACCTTTTTATCGCCTTAATGTCGAATCTATTTGCAAGGGTGCACAAAGATGCTGAGAAATATGCCTTGTTAGAGCAGGCTAAGACAGTGATTCTGTGTGACAGATTGATCAAAAGAACAACAATAGAAAAGTTCAGAAACCACATGCAGTCGTTTTGCAATCCACTGGTGAGTCAATTTGCCCAAGAGGTTTAAGGAGGGTTATGGGGAAGGGGTGCTCGGGGTATGACCTTCATCCTTACCTTCATTCTGGAAAAAGTGCTGATATTTTTACAACTTTTTCCCACTACAATATTGAGGTCTCTGACATTGAAATGTACGTTCCAGATTTAAACGGGAGATGGTTTTAGAGAAACGAAACCCTCTTTCCAAGCAAAACTGGTAGTTTGCCACCAATTCAGCTCAATTATTCTTGTCACACTTTCTAAGTTCTAAATTTACCTTTTTCATTTAGGGAGCTTTAAGTCTAGATCGATAGAACAGAGTACCAGGCACGTAAATAATAGGGGGGCGTGGGGGGCGTGACGCCCCCCCAAAGTTTGGAAAATCCAGTTACAGTTGGAAAACATAACGGTTGACTTGGAATTTTTTCTTAGGACCAAACTTGTGAATTTTATATTTTAAGAAGTTTTTTTATTTTAAATGTAAAAATTCTAAACATTAAAATTCACAGGCTGAAGCTGACCCGTCTCCACTGGATCCAAATTGCACAATTGCCCTGTTTGCTTTCTTTCTGACGGGAGTTGAATCAAATTACGAACAGGCAAGGTGAATTTCCGGATAAGAAACTTGAAACTTTACAGTTTGGAATGATAATTCCCGTATTGATTAGAAATTATTAGAGTGGGAGTTTTTTAAGAAACTACGAGGAGTTAATTCAATAAAAGATTAATAATCTTTCAGTACTAAAAATTCTCAACGCTTCTTATAAAAACGAGTTTATGCTAAACACCCCCTGTTATTTGTTAACGCCCTTGACTCCTTATCATAAATTCCTATGACAAAACTGCTGTGAAGCAAGAACACATTGCAAAATTGCAGTAGAAGTATTTGATCAAAGAAGAGTGTTTCATCTTTCGGATCAGGCATATGCACAAGTTTGTTCTCAAATCATCATTTCAATTGTAATGAATGAAAAGGCATTTGGCCCTCTGAAAATTGTTAGTAGTTTTCTTCGATCAAGAACAAAAA